TTTCTACTCTTTCCAGCCACCTCTCGAAGCCTGGTGGAGGCTATAGTATAGCCACCCAACAGTACTAGTCTTTCACCGTAGTTCAGTGACAGTCTGCATTTCAGACTGGAGTTGTTTATTGAAGCTCATGAACATAAGACTAGGAGCCATGGTTAATGATATGATTAAATATTTAATGTTTTTGTTTCATTTAACAAATGCTTCTGTTGTACTTGGTGAAAATTTCAAACTGATCTGCAAGTAAACTGTTACTCAAGCAACTGGATAGACTTTGAAAACTGTCAGATATTTCAAGTAGCATCCACTACGTTTCATCAGTGGCACAACAGAAGTTATTGGATGACAATCTGTTCAACTACAGATTCAAATAGTCACTGACAAAAAGCAGTGGATTGTATTTGGAACGCCCAACCAAAATCTATTGCTTGAGGAACAGTTTTCTTTTGTTTTTCATTACGTAGAGGTCTAACCTTCATCGACATAAATAATCTGATCTGTTCCCTATTTCAACAATGAAATACATTGTGTTTCTGTTTATGTAATCTCGACATACATGTAGTTATTAATTCTACAGTTCAATGCCTACATGTGCCAAAATTCCAACAATACTCTATTCTGCTCCATAGCAATTTGTACAATGGATAATCCTTGTTCCCCTCCATGCAGTCTGTTAAGAGGGTTATGAATTCTACTGTTATGTGCCAAATTTCTAAAAACACTTTTAATACGCTCCACAATCTTCACAATGGAACATTCATGTTTCTCTCTATGCGGTCTCTTCAACGCCACGGTTGTCTGCCAAACCAGTAGGTTTCTTTACAATATTTGTGATGGGATAATCTTGTTCCCCTCAATGTGGTGTTTTCAGTGATCTTGACATTTGACCACAACAATTTGATTTCTTCATCCTCAGATTTTGGCACGAATGCAATAAAGTTGGCAGGGGAAAATAAAAAAAAAAAAACAGGCCATGGAAACTTTGGAAAATCCAAGTTTTGTACTGCTGGCGTGCAGGTGATAGCCTCTACCAGGCTTTGGGAGGCGGCTGGAAAGAGTAGAAATCAGCCAAATTGAGAGATACACATGTACATTGTAACATGCCAGGGGAGATGGTCTGCTAGAGTGCAGCAAACTACACTCTCTAGTGGACCAACTCCCCTGGCATGTTATCTACTCCCCTGGCATGTTATCTCTCTATTTGGCCAATTTCTACTCTTTCCAGCCACCTCCCAAGCCTGGTAGAGGCTATGCAGGTGTGGCCTGTATGTTTTTGGCTATGCTGTTGTTACGTGCCAAATCTCTTCTGACTGAGGGTTGGCGGCAGCTTGTCAGTGACGGCCTTGATTGGTCGCTCCACGGCCACAAGTTCTGCCCCGTCCTCCAGGAAACTCACGTGCAGAAGGGCCTACAGGAGGAAAGGTCATAGGTTACACAAGGGAGCTAATTCATAGCTCTAATTAAACTAAATATTTATGACGTGTTAAGGTAAAATCTAAACATAAGATATGATGGCACGGTTGCTGCTTTTATGGTACATAATAAACTTAGGGTGAAGAATGTACATTTATCTATTCTGTGGTTTTGTTTGTGTCTGTACCTGCATGTGTTTGTGCATGCGTGTGTGTGTGTGTGTGTGCATGTGCGCGTGACTTACCCGATAGCCTCTGCAGACCTTGCCTACCTGTGTATGAGCATGTGTGTGTGCACGTGTGTGCACTTGTATATGTATGTGTATACATGCCTTACCCGATATCCCCTGCAGACAGCGAAGGCGTGCCTGTTCTCCTCCCTGACAGCCGGGTCCATCCTCATCAGTTTCTCCCTGCTGTAGAACTGACTCCCGGGTCTCGGCAGCTTCTGCAGGGGGACAACAGGACAGAACAAAATACATATCATCCAAGAAAAATATGTTATACAAAGTGCTAGAAGTATAAGTTCAACTTGAGGTAAGTTGGATCATAGACTAGACACTTTTTACTTTGTACATTTATAACTGTATGTTCCCTTGCAATTAGCCTTCAGAGAAGAGTTTGTAATCAAATTATTCCATAAAGAAGTTTGGGAACTGGGATTAGTGTCTCAGATTTTGAACAAATAACTTATTATAAGATAAAAGTACATATATTTCAATTTGCCATCTTTCCTTTCAAAATCAAAGATAAATAGAATTATCATCATTTCTTTGCCACAAAACTGTTTTTCATTTGATGTTTATAAAAAAAACTGACAGAAAAAGACGACGGCTTACTTTGTCCTTATCTATGATACAAAACATCCGCTGGTCCTGGAGGAGGATTTGTGTCGGATTGGCGGGATTGTACGCGACCTGGGTCACAACCTCCAACCTTTTCAGCCACTCCTGGTGCAGCCCCTGACGCTGAACAGTCCGACTCCAGTCCGTGTACTCGCTCTCCAAAACATCGTACTCAAAAAACTGGAAGATATAGAGATAGAAGATATACTTTACTGCATGACAATTCAATCACTCACTCACTATCCAAGATTTGATTATACTGCTGCTGTTGTCCCTGCCACAGGGGTCGGCAGCAGTCGGCTAGTAGTACTGGTCTTCACACTTCACAATTGATTTGATTTATTGAAATTGTAACAGTACAGAGATGTGGGACACAGGCAGCTGTTGCTGGTGTTGTGTCCCACACATAGAAACAAATACAGGACAGACAATACTCATTTTCATTTCAGTTAAGTGGGGAAAGTCGTGTAAAGATGTTTTAACAACAAATATGCTCTCACTGTCTCTTCTGGTGTTAGAGAACATTAATCTCGCAAATCATCCTTCCTAATATCAGTGTATTTACTTTATCCAAGCGTCTATAAAACGTTTGACTATTTTTAGGAACTATACACATGCATGTTGTGTTTTAACAGTTTTGGTGTCATATGGTCTAAAATATAACCTACCTGTTGTGAGGCATGGACCACCATAAGCCATGGTTCTGTGGGGTGAAAGTTCATGGCAGAAACCAGGCTGGGGTGTTTAGGAAGACTGCACTGGTGCTGGGAAGGAAAACCAGTATAAAAAAATTCAGTCAGTCTGCAAAATTGAATGATAAAACTACTGACTACAGTACAGTAAGTCCTGAGATTACAGAATCACACGGTTATAGTGTAGATATGCCTTGTTCGTGAATACTGTCTTATTGCATATTGTTGTGCCATCTGCTGTGCTACAAGGCCTCCATAATTGTATTTACATGTACATGTATATTTAATTGAAATATAATTTAATGTTATGTAATGTATGATGATTTTATGTACTAGTATATAACCTTGTTGGCATGGTGGCTTTGAATGTTCACCTGTTCCATCATGCCTTCCATGTATGTGGAAAGTTGTAATAAATAAAGAAAATTTAATAAATAAAAGAATGTGATGTTTTGACTTACTTTCCTTGCCTTTACATTGTAAACGTGAACAGAACAGTCGAGATGGGCTGCTGCTATCCACTGGGAGTCACTACTCACAGCCAGGGCACTGATAGGGGTGGGAGGGGCTCCACCTACAAGTATAGTTCACAAAATAACTAATAAACTGGTGTACATGCCAACTACTAAGTAATGTTACCTAATACCAGCTCAGAAATGAGCAAAAAATAGTCATGCCTTCAAGTACCAGAGTTATCAACAAAGGATTGAGGTGTCCAAAAACTCTATCTTTCCTGGAACTATCCCAGAGTGGAACTCGCTGTCATCAAGTTATCACTAGATAGCTTTAAACAATGTTTAGAGTTAGGTGTCCAAGGGTTAGGCGTAACAAGTCGTTCGGTGTAATGTAGCCAGCTGCCGCCACGCCACGTGCCTGCGAAACTGGCGTGTTATGCCGAAGGGCGGTTATACCGGCTATACAGATACAGAAGCTGGTGTGTTATACCGAAGGGCGGTTATACTGCCTATACAGATACAGAAGCTGGTATGTTATGCCGAAGGGCGGTTATACTGCCTATACAGATACAGAAGCTGGTATGTTATGCCGAAGGGCGGTTATACCGGCTATACAGATACAGAACATAGAAACAGAACTTACTTTCTGGAGGCACAAAAGTGTGGACTAGAACAGGGTGTACAGCATCTACACGGAGAAACTGTACTGCACCCTGATTGGTCGCTGTCACCAGCCCTGAGGCATTGTGGGTAAAGATCATGTGATGAGCAGGTCGTAGGTCAATGGGAAGGCACCTCACCTGTGAAAGAAGGGAAAATAAAGTAAGCATGAAAAAAAGTTAACTACAAATTAGCAAACTTGAAGGACTTTTTATAACAAATGTGTACATAAAAAGAGATGTAATTTCATCTATCATAGGCCAATCTGCTTGGAGATTTGATAAAAATGATAAAGCTTAATTTCCCAAAAAATCATGAGAAAAGTCTATATTACATATTGTAGGAGGCTGCACTAAAGATCTCTTAAAACACATTGTTTTTCAAAGTGGCAAATATTTGTAACCTGGTAGATACATGTTGATGGAGGTAACTGTTAAACATACCCTCTGTACTTTTACTTTCACCCCCTCTTCTTTAGGCAAATGGAACAGTCGGACATGTTGGGCGTTGCCATAGGCAACCCAGGTGCCACACCCGGAGACGGCACTGCACACGATCTGCTTCATGTTCTGTTAACGAGATATCAATAAATATTATGATCGTTAACAATCCACAGTAATGAGCTGAAGATCACAGGGTTTATAGATTTTATCACTTCCTATATGGTATCTGTATCTGTATAGGTATAGCTGGTATAACCGCCCTTTGGCATAACACACCAGCTGGGTATACAGAAGACAAGAGGGCAGTTCAATGGAAAGTTTCCCTGACTCACTTCATCTCAGAGGATGCTGATATTTTATCATAAATTAATAAGTACATGTAATACAGTCTTATGTAGATTACAATAATGTACATGGCCTAGGGAGAAAACCACTTGTCTTGCATGTATTATAGGTCAGGGATTCGATCCCCAGTTGGGTCATACTAAAGAGATTATTTAACACTGGTTTATCTGCACTTGGGAAAGAGTATGGGAGTTGAACACACACCACTACAAGTGGATTAGCCCTCTGCTGTAGTGATTGCACACTTGTGTGGCCCAAGGGCTACTGAACTGGAGATACACTGTAGGCTCAGCCCTTTATACACCTTATGGAACATCTACCTTTGTTTTCAGGTCCAGTAGAGACACTGGCTCCTGGTTGATTGGCAGTCTTGCATCAGGCATACCTGTAAAATAAAATAAATATTAATGCAAACACAAGATTTTCAATAACAATATAGTTTACACTGTAAAACACCAAGTGTATAGTATAATTAGTTTTCTGAATTAAAATGATTCATTCATTTGAAACCATGTCTAACAGATCTGAATTTAGATGGCCTAAAATGATACCATGGGAACATTTTGATGATTTGATTTTGAAAAAAAGAAGACAGGAATGAGAGAAACAAAGTAAAAGAGGGAGAGCCAAGAGAGAGTGAGGAAGGAAGGAGGGAAGGAAGGGAGAGAAAGAAAGAGAGATAGAGAGAAAGAGAAAAAGAAAGGAAGAGAAAGAAAGAAAGACTGACCTGACACAGCTGCAGTGTTTCCCAGCTGCCACAGTTCCAGTCTAGTCTGGTACTGGAACAGTAACGTCCGCGCTGTCTCAGCAACATGCACAAGTCTTCTCTGTACAGCAAAATAATAGAACAACAACACTTCAAGATCAAACAAATAGCAATCATTATCATCTGTATCGGGGTAACACACCAGCTTCTGTATCTGCATATAGCCAGTACAAACACCCTTAGGCATAACACACCAGCTTCTGTATCTGTATAGCCGGTATAACACACCAGCTTTGCAGGCACACAGCGTGGCGGCAGCTGACTACATCACACCGAACGACTTGTCACACCTAACCCTTGAACATCTAACAACAAACATTATTTAAAGCTATCTAATGATAATGCCCCTACTGTGCTTGGTGATCATCATCATTACCCCCACATGACCCCATAGGAGCACAGTAGAGGGGAGTTGAGGTCCCAGGTTAGGGCAGGCAGGCCTGCAGCCTGGCACAGAACGACTCAACAGTGGGAGTAATAACTTCCACATTTCTACTGACATCCAAGTGCTTTTGGACATGCTAGATACACGTTTGAGGCAATTGCATGTTTCCATGTAAGCACAAGATACATTGTAAGTATCTGTGGACCCATCATTGATATATACTAGGGCCTTGTTTCATGTACAAATATAATGCTTCCTACAAAATTTTCCTGTCTTGTGAAAGAAAATATAGATCCGTATTCTGTGATAGGCTTGCATAAAATGGTTCGACAATACCTAAAGCAAATTAGGAATTTCCTAGTTGTTGTACCACAAATTTGAGACAACTCAAAGATACATTTTCACGACACAAGAATCTACAGCCTACATGTCACAGGACACATTTAACACTGGTACGCTAAGAAAAGAAACACATTGCCTCTTTATCTTCCACAATCGACATTTGTTACTTTGTTGTGACCGGCTTGTGTGACCAGCAAATGTAATTTGGCTGAACCTGTTTTCGACATCCTTGTTACCAGAGCGACGTACAACCTTTAAAACTGGCACAGGTCCACGCTTGGTTGTAAGGTTCCCTTGAACCAGACTGTGGTTTAATCACTTTACATACTGTAAACTTTGAAATGTTTGCAAACATACTCGGAGCTCGAAATCCTTTTTTCTGCATACCTGCACTGGTGCAGGTAACATTGATAATTACCTGCACCAGACAGGTTTACCTGCACCAATTAGGTAAGTTAGGATTTAAAAAGTAGGGATGTTACAACAAAATGTTCAGAAAACATTGCCATTATTCCTTTTATACGTCATAGGTGGTAACAATTCATGCGGGCAATGAAAATCTACATAAACCTACATTGTACAGTGTGTATATAATTATAAACCTAGTACATGTATATGGACCAGTGCAGGTTAGGTGCAGGTAGACCTGCACAGCTCCAATTTTACCTGCATATGCAGGTGGTATTTCCAGCCCTGATACTTTGTTCTGTCTTCCATCTAATGGTCTCAACTGTGAACTCTAAAGATACTGCAAATGCTTCATTTTCACTGCGACCTGAACCGCAAATTTCAAACACAAAATTAAATGTCTGTAGTTTGTTTACAAACTCACAAGGTGCTAGAAATTACCAGTAAATCAATTTTTCTAATTTGTGACCACAGAAGTCCTTTGATGTTTCTGACTCTGTCTCGTCCAATATCGCACATATAATTATTATACATTTTTCATAATCTACCTAATATAAAACATGCTAAGTAAATTTACTCTCCCCTTCTAACATGTACCATTCTTCCAATCCAGCCACTTGTGGCCTTGCTGTCCTCTATATATAGCCGGTAAAAATCCGCTGCTGTTAAGTGGGTCAAGGGCGTGGGTCTATTTTCTGACGACCTAGATGCGGTTCGGCGACGGTCTCTAATTAGGAGAGCAGCTATTATCCCTGTCTGAAGGGCATCGCTGCCTGTAATCTCTCCCTGCTGATCCGTGTTTTGATAAGGCCCCACCGGCTTTCATTTCTTTGTTCTCAGATTTTTGCAGGAAGTCAATGAAGCGGGTGAGTGAAATATACAAACAAAACAGGCCTAGGCATCCTGATTCAGAAGCTGAATGTCTGTGAAATTGTTTCAAACTATATTTTTTGAAAGATCAAAAGTCATGTAGGTATATAGGTAAACTTTGTTATCTGAAGAAAATTTTTGCAGGTAGTCACTGAAGCAGGTGAGTGCAAAAAACAACAAAACAGGCCTTAAGGCATCCTGTGATCTTCCCAAATGATACCCAAAAGCACACAAAGTCAACATACCGGGCTGGTTTATAATTCGTGAATTTTGCAGTACATTGAAATATGGAAAAAACTGTAACAACGAGAAAACAACAACTTTCTTCGAATATTGGTGCCAAAATGTGAGCATGTTGGCATTGATTCAGAACCTGAATGTTTTCATCTTTCTTGCAAATCAGCCCAAAAATGAAGCGGGCGAATCTGAGTTCCATCAAATTGGCAAAGACTTACTAAAAGCTAACTTTGCAGGGGAAAAGATTTATAGAACAGCCTGAATGGTATGTGTTTTTGTTTCTTTCAAATCAGCAAAAAAATTAAGCGGGCGAATCTGAGTTCCATCAAATTGGCGAGGACTAAATAAAATCCAACTTTGCAGGGGATGAAATTTATAGAACGCCTCCCCGGTTGAACCTGTGAAACTAGGCCAAGGGCAGACGTAATTGGTTTTTACCTGCCAACGAGATACAGCTGTCCTGCCCACCACAGGGTCGTGATAACAAAGTCAATTCCCATTATCAGGCGTACTAATAAAGTCGCTTATCTTGGCGATGTGTGCGTTATCGTCCCAGCCGTGGAATTGATTCCGTATTCGGAGAAACATCGGACTGGCACGAAGCGTGTCCTCGAGACAGAATTTCGAGGAAAAGAAGGATGATATCATGTCTTTTGATTTTGTGGAAATAGGACAATCGGTTATATCTGGCATCTAGCTGATAGTTAGCTGTGAAAACTGTCTGTGAAGTTGTTTCAAACTTTATGTTTTTTAAGATCAAAAGCTATTAAGGTAAACATTATCTGAAGTAAATTGTAATTGATTTATTTCAAAATAAATGTCCTAAATGACAGATCACAGGCAAAAAAGTTACGAAAGAGCAGTTCTCCAACATGTAATATAACCTTTGAATATCAGAAAGGAAACTTCAATTTCTGACTCAAAGATTCAAGAATATTCTGCCTCCAATCAGAGAGTACTGGAAAGGAAATCATTGAAAAGAAGTACAATTATGACTTTTACGGTGAAAAGAGCCAACTTGAATTTCACCCCTGAAGTAGCAAGACATCACAGACCCACAGACTGCACGAAACATTTGTCTAACTTCATTTAAAACTTTAAAACATTTCATCAACGTTCTACTTTCTTCATTTGTGTGGCTGAGTCCTTGTGACTACATGACTGTATGTGTTCCAAATCTAACACCTTTGATGTCAAAATATCACCCATTTGGTTTCGATTCTGGGGACACCAGCCTTCACCATCATTAAAGCAATTTAATCGTCCCATCACACAACCTTCTAACTATCTGTGTGCAGCTATGATTGACCTTTATCCGTCTGTTCCACGACCTTGAAGCTGGTGTTCCCAATTTGCTGCGTTTCTATTGGCTCTTTTTAGCATGATATTTATGATGTCTTTGGCATCCTTTTTTTTCAGTAGACTCTTATTACACACTTATCTGAATATTCAAAGAATTTGAATTTTGTAGTGAAACATTAATAATTGGATGATTGTGTTGAATGCCTTTGTGACCAATAGCATTCTCCTTTCTCAAAAGAGAATTTCTCTACATCCGGTAGTCAACACTGCTGGACAATGTTTCCCAAACATTTATTTCCTCATTAGTGGGATGCCAACTATACATGTCCTACAGAGTAGAGCTTGAAAAAGTAGGTCAACAATCATTAGTACTGTCCTTGACTAAATTGTACTGTAAGTTGTGAAATATTTGCAGTGATTTAATTTTCAAAATCACCTCTTCCATACGAACTCACAACACTGCGTATGTGTGTTTTGTCTTCTGCTCTTTCTACTCAAGAATTGTTTTAACTGCAACCTTAAAAACACAGAGGAAACCTCCTGTCTCCTACTACCACAATATTATGTCTCTGCAAAAATAAACAACAAATAAACCAGATATTCCAAGAAGTATTTTGGGCTTTCGTGACCTCAAACTCATTTACCCCATTTCCTGTGTCTGATCTTTTGACCTCCTGTCATTCTGCCTGTCAATCTTCCCCATCTATGTGCTGTCAACCTACTCTCTTCGAACAAGCACACAAACCCACAGCTTAGCTAGCCATCCAGAACAATACTTCCGTACACTCACCTGTGGGAAAGGTAGTATGTTCCTGCTTTGCTTCCCCAGCTTACCGACAGGCATGGCCACTAGAGTCATATCAACTCCTGAAGGGATAGGGAATATTTATTTGTTTGCCTGAAGGCAAATTGCAAGGGAACACGCAGGTACTACATGTAAAATGTAAAACATGTCTAGTCTATAAATCTATCTGACATTGCTAAACACAACAGTGAGAGGTTTGACTTCTGTTGTTTTTTTCTGAGGCAGTTGGTAATGTTGAGTAATACACGAAAATGGTACAAAAAGTTGCATGCTGCTTTCTTTGCTGATCAGCACTTTCATGAGAAAGACAATGGGAGTTGAACACGCGCCATTATCAGTGGACTAGCCCCCTGCTGTGGTGGCCTCGTGTGACCCCGGGGCTACAGAAACGGAGATAGGCACCGCCCTTATATTAATTATACACAGTGAGGTGTGGGCTGGTAATACAGTAGTAACACATGGACTCAACAAAGGTTTGATGAAGTGTAGGGAACGGCCCAACTAACAGGACGTATACATCACTTTCTTTACTTGTTATCATGCGTGCGATGAGGCTGATCGTGAACTTCAAGTTGTGCGGCCTTTTCACCTTAAAACACGACAGTTTGGGCTGCCAGACAGTCAGGGCATGCCGGCATCACCACAACACAATAAATCAGCCGACAGTTTAACTCTGCAACGCCTTAAAAAGCATGTTCCTGGCAGGAAGACAAATCTGGTTCTGCATTCAGACTAATCAACAACACAGAACCTGCATAGTTTGGACACTAAATTTTGTTCCACACCCTTCTGTGAGATAAATCATTTAGTTCTTTGCTCAAACACTGAAAACAGGTTACACTTACAGGCTACACTCTTTTGATGGACATTGACAAGAATTTTCCATTTGGAGAAGAAGAAGAGCAAAAATAGCATGTTTTCCTTCTGCAAAAGTTAGTTAAAATTTAAGTCCTTCTCGCACCATGTGGTGCATAGGGCAGCGCCCATCTCCGATTCAGTAGCCCTTGCGACACAGAGTTGTGCAATCACTACAGCAGGGGGCTAGTACACTGGTAGTGGTGTGTGTTTAACTCCCATATTCTTTCCCAAATGCTGAGTGCTAAGCAGAAAAAGCAACCATTTTTAAAGTCTTTGGTATGACTCAGCCGGGGATCGAACTCACAAGTAGTGATGCATACCGGTTCACTGGACTTGGATCCGGACTTGTAAGAATGTTTAGGTTCAAGACTTCAAGTCCAAAAAAATCTAAAAGTCAAGAACCGAGTCCGGACTTATTACCATAAAAGACCATTTCATATACCCCTTTTCTTTCCAAACCACCTAAAACCTTCCGTAGATTGCAAAATCTTTGCTGCAAAATGAAGAAAGCATTGCCATCGGGCATCGTCAAGTACTGGCCTCCATGTTATGTGGCCAAAGTTTCACCCAGACAACATTACAAGGTTGCCAACATGCAATTTTGTATATGCAACGGGTTAAGGTCCGGACTTACAAGTCCGGAACTGAACCTAAACCTCTGGACTTGAATCCGGACCTGAACCTAAAATTGAGTTTAGGTATGCATCACTACTCACAAGCTACCGAATACAGGGTGAGCACTTCTGCAAAGGTAAACAAAAATTCCTGAAATCAACATCAAGACCCCATTTTCCTCTCACCTCCCGACACAACGTATTCTCCTGTGTTGACCAGAGCGCGGACGTCGTGTGTGTGTCTCTTCGCGACATTGTGGCGGACCCAGCTCGCTCTGCTGCCCTCATCCTTCCCAGCAACCTTTTCAAAGCGGATGGCCTTCGGGTCCACACCGGCCGTCCACACCAACGTCTCATCCTGTAGCAAATTAACAAATTTGTGGCAAAATAAATCAGAGATTCCATTCCTATCAACCAAGAGTTGAGGTGTTCAAAAACTCGTATTTGCTAAGAACTACATGTATTGTAGTGTGGAACTCGTTGCCACCAAGCAAAGTAGGGACATCATCACTAGAAAGCTTTAAACAACTCCTGCAATTAAATGTGCAAATCAAATTAAATTAAAGATTGAGTGTAACAAGTCGGTCGGTGTAATATAGCCAGCTGCTGCCGCCCCGCGTGTCTGCAAAGCTGGGGTGTTACGCCAAAGGACTGTTATACCAGCTATACAGATACAGATACAAATTTGTATTCTTATGTTCGTACGGCTGTTTCCTATGGGTGACATACCCGAAATAAAGAAACTCAGTTCAACATCTTAAATTTTTTGTGGATTTCTTTGTTTCCATATACATATAGGCATTTCCCCACTTGTACCCAACCAACAGACTGCTGGCCAGCTTTTTGGACGTACGTACGTAACTCCCTGAGTCTACAGTATTTCCAATAAAGTTTTTTAGTCAAAGTTTCTTACCTTGCTAACACACATGGACAGCACATCCGCTTTGTGGCAATGATGACTCTGTAGAAGATATCAGATGTTTTTTTATTCATATTTCGACACAAGTGAAATGCTACAAACATGTATCTCTGTCCCAACTACAAGTATTCTGTACTCTATTCTGAGTGTGCAAAGAACTTATAGACAATAGTTGACAATGCCATGCAGTTTGAAAACCAATCAATAGATGGGGTAGTTTCACTGGGAAAACTTTGATATTAAGTGTACGTGTACTGTATGCCCAGGGATGTTTGGATGTGCTCTCTGAACCTACGTAGCAAAACATTGGTGCAATAAGCATAACATATGTCTAGATGCATAAGCTACCTCTACCACTCAGAAATTCTAGTCAAAGTACATGTAACGTTACATGACAAACCTGTATAAGGGTTCCATGTTTGCCATTCCAGAATCTGGTTTTGCCTAGTGAGTCCCCACTGACTATTGTGAAGTCTCTGTAAAAGATTATGGAAACAAATCAAGCATGGAAGATAATCCAAATACCTGTGATTTAAAGTGTGTTTCTTTTACAGAAAATTTCAGATAATGTTCTAGTTTCAAAGGCTTACCTTAAGATAGCCACACACCACACTATGGTTTCTCTGGTCCGCACTAGTCGTTCAACTTTTATTCTTAAGGTGGGAAGACCTGAAAAAAGAAAAATTACATTTTCGATCATCCTCAAAACCGTGAAGATCATGTGCGCAAGTATTATTTTAACGAAATTATAACTGCATCAGTACCTGCAGTACTGATAGTACACGATAGGGGGCTCACCTGTGGCCACATCCCACACCCTGATGTTATCACATGACCCAGTCACTAACACCTCTCCACTTTCGTGCCAGGCTAGCGACAGGATCCTCTCTGGAAAAAAAAAACATCAAGGTGGTCTTGTTTTTAGGTTTGTTGACTTAGAATCTTAAGGTTCTGGGTTCAAATCCCAATGTTGTGCCCTAGCTTGGGAAAGGCACTTTACACCTATTTATTCATTGAACTTTACACCTATTTTCTCATTGAAGGTAAAAATGAGTACATACATGTAGCTTCAGTTAGGTCAGAAAAATCACACAAACTTGACTCACAGAGACTAAGGACTAACTGACCCAATAGGATAACCAGAAGTTACAGAGGTTGTTCGTGAACATTCTTAATGGATAAAAAACTGTATCTTAGTTTAATACATTTGTGACAAACATCTGTAACTGGTCCTTACATAGTTACAACTACTTGCATCAGACTGTGACACTGCAAAAATGTACTACAGATGCATGTAAAAAGAAACCAGAAGAGGTGTGATCAAACTTTTTTATTTCATAACAAACACAAAGTTCACCTTCTTGCTTCTTAAAAGCTCTTGAATAGGACAGCTCCCCCTCCGTGACTTCAAACAGTCGTACACAACCATCCTCACTTCCTACCTGTGGAGGTTTACACAGAAAAGTCTTTTAGACTAAAGTTTGATTCTTAAGATCAACATCAACAAAGATAGCTCAATTCAATGTACATACATGTACTATATTAGTTAAAAGGAGGGAATTATCCCTTGTCCTGCTGGCATTTTTTACACAATATTTTCAAATAACGTCTGAATCAGGTCACACACCCTTGAGTTTTTTTGCCCTGCAGAGGCGTAGTTATATGTATGTATACAGGGTGTATATCTATATAGATGGTGCTGTTTGTGCAACCCATATATATGGGCCCCACAGGACAAAGGTTTTAAAAAGCCAAATCAAAAGGTAGCTTACTGCAATGGTAGACTGTGAGTTGTTGGCTGCCATACACCACACTGCTCCACCATAGGAGTCCACTGCATACTGAAATATCACAGGACATAAAGTAAAGGTATAGCAGTCATCCTCAACTGAGGTGAATATGACACTTTTCAAATAGCTAGGAGTAGCAATACAGCAACATATTGAGCCAGACATCTTTGTGTGACATATTAAAGGACATTGCAACCATCCCTTAACAAAGACGGGGGCACCACAGACTTTCTGCAACCTATGATCCACTGCTCTCGGAGTCACATGCGTGATCTGCATAATGTGACATCACAGCTGAAGCAGTGGATTGCTCATTTCTTGATAAAGACTGGAGTTGTACAGTCGAAACTTTGGGTAAGTCCAATTTCTTGTGTGGAAAATTACAGTTTAAATTTGCTTCATAATGAAGTCTACCAACACAGAAGAATTTTTAAAATAGTATTGTTTCAACCTAAAAGTCAAAGATACTGCAGACTCTTGATTTTTTGCCGTGCCACAAAACAATTTAGTGTTGCAAACTTGAACAGATTTAGAGTAAGCTGAGTGTGTTACCTTTGGTGTGAGCTTGGTCATGTCGTACTCGATGATATCACCATGGAGACCAGCAGAGAAGAGACGCTGGCCGACCCAAACCATGGCCTCTACGGACCTCCCTGCATCTCCACATATCAGCTACAGCAGGAGAAAGGGATGGTGTCAATAACTAAACATTTAACATGGATATAGTCTTACAATATCATTAGCATATATATCTATATGACTGTCTAAAACATTAAATCCCTCAGACTATAAACTGAAGCTGCAAAAACCTTCAATAACATAATTTTATTACCGGACCTACTTTACCTGCAAACAGAGAGAAGATGAAAGAAACTCGGGAGCTAAAATAGGTCTGGTAACCAGATTATAATTTTGTTACCTCTTAATTACAGATATTGGTTGTGTTCACAGAAAAGATTTCTCTGACCTTTTCCTGGTACCAGTTGTCATTGATGCTGTAGATTTCTATGGACCCATCTGACCTGCAGGGACAAAACATTCAGAATTGTCATAAATTCAGAAGGTGTTCTAAACCTAGCCTGGGTACCATCCTGGTTAGTTTACGTCCGCTCCCACAGTCGCTACCGACCAACCAGTCGGTAGCGACTGTGGGAGCGGACGTAAACTAACCAGGATGGAACCCAGGCTAGTTCTAAACCCACATCATGACAACAACAGCAAAAAGATATAGTTTTCTACAACATACATGTAATAGCACTGAGCCTCTATCCATACAATTAAGCTACTATGCTCAAAATATATACTTCTGTTACAACAGAAAAGGTTTGTACCTGGAGACAGCCACCCTGTTGTTTGTGTTGGTGGGCGATACTGTGGATGGCTTTAGGCATGAACCAGAAGAACCAAACATCATAAAACTTCTCTGTACACTACGGATGAATATAAAAATGACAGAAAGGTTCGTACCTGGAGACAGCCACCCTGTTGGTAGTGTGTTGGTGAGCGATACTGTGGATGGCTTTAGGCATGAACCGGAAAAACCGAACATCATGGAGCTTTAACTCTCCCATGGTACCTAAGGTTGGAGCAACGGGCATCAAAAAACTAAATAAGTTAATCAAATTAATAATAATTTGATTAACTTGATAATTTGATTAATTTGATAATTAAGTTAATGAAAACAAGTTACAGAGATTGCTTTAATATTGAGCATCAATAGCCTGTATTGATATATCCTAAATCATGTTAGTGTAGACATAAATTGTGCCTTTGTCATAATACATATAACGTTACATAGTTTACTTTTTATATTACATTTTTCCAAAGGAAGTAATTGCACAATTGTGTAAAACCATCTTAAATCTGACCAAAATGATATTATTTTGGAGTATACGTCAGACAATACGTCAACAACTTACTCTTATTAATCATAACCTAGCAGACTGAATTGTAAACGGCATGGGGCAAATTATTATATTGTGATGTCTACACACGTGTTCCCTGCACCCCCCTCCCCACACCGACACTTTCAACTCCAACAATCTCTTATTTCCCCCGAAGAACACTGCGATAAATCTACAGTAACATTCTATTTACCTTTATGATGTATCCTCCTTCCTAAAATCCGCTAAAATCTCAGCCTTTCTTGTTTTTTCCTACCCTTTTTGACAGAAAAAGTTGGTGCCTCGTTCAAGCTTCTTGCACTGCGTGTCAAAGTTCATGTTGTGTCAAAGGTCGTGACCTCGAGGTCAACATATTTGTAAAAGCGCGGGAAAGTTCCGAAGAGGCATTTCACATTTGGAAGAAACTTTAAGCCGTTTTGTGGATGAATTTGCGTTTTGTCGGTGATACATAGACATTCAGGATGGTTCAGTTCGCCATACGGATGTGAGTATAGAACAAATTACAGTCGTGACATTGGAAAATTGATAAAAATCACGTGTTTGTTTGTGTTTCAGTTGGAAAGGTGGGAGGGGGGCCGGGGGCATATAGTAAAACTACATAACGTTTTAGCATAACAGCTTTCAGCAAGGACATAATCCCGGACATTATACGATCTCCTTGCTTTCAGTTTAGTATATTTTTATGAACACTTTTAAGAATTAGGAAAACAGCTTTCTTCAAATCTTCAACAAAAAAAAAACAACTATGGACTCCGAGGCAAATCTGAGAACAAAAACTTTTTACATTTTCTAAAAACAAGGAGGCTAAAAATCAAAGTTGAATTTAAAGCTCCTTGGTAAAAATGATGGTTGATGGTTTCATGTTTTGCCTTAAGTCAACCATATGTTGAAAATGTCTGTGCATTATATAACAAATATACATAACCTCAAACCCAGGCCTCAGACTGAGGGCGGCTGTCCTGAGTGGACCATGGTGGAGCTACAGGGAGTACTGGAGACCAGGGACAGCAGTGGGCTGCCTGGAAACAGGCTAGGAGACCTGCACTTTACCAAGGGGGTTTGGACAAATCCTTGTTAATTTTTTTGATATTTTTTTAAGTACATCTGACACCCAATGTCTAGACTCTAATGACATTTTGCTGTTCAACAGGATTTAGTAGGAGTTTTAAAAGCTATAGAGACCTTAGGTGGTAAGACAATGTCCATTGGCCAGATGAGTGACCATTGGCCACTCAATGGATACTGTCTTACCACCTTAGGATCTGCTTGGAGATTAGTAGAGACCAGCATATACCATAAACTAGTATGCCAAAATAACTAAGGAAAAAAGAAGAAACCGTAATCATTGAGTCACCGTCTTTAGAAGTGGAACTCGATATGCTGCTGTCTTGTAAAGTTTCTGTTATCTCCATATATGGCAGGGGCAGCCGATCTTGCTGATTGGTCACCACGTGCTTCATGGGAAGGTGGTGGAGTTGGAGAAACCGTTTGCTGTTCTGGTCAAGGAGAAGGAGAAGGAGAAGAAGGATGATTCCACTGACAGTATGGACACGGGGGAGTCAGCAGACACTGTGACATGCTCAGACTATCTCGTGAAGGCGGTTATCAGGAACAAACTGGTGTTCAAGAACAGACCCAGGCCAATTATCAACCTTACACACAAGAAGGGACACTAAAAAAAATGTAGTAATTTCTTACAACTTGTAATGTTAAAATGCTTTGTCTACATGTATCATGAGTAGGCTTTCAACAGCAAATCTTTATCAAACAATGGAATATAATAAGGACAATGGTTACATCACTACTGTACACAGATTCTGAAGCAAAGCTGAGCTGTAATTTTCACCACTGAGTCATGTGTTCTGTCTGCATAACATGACATCACAGAAACAAACACACACAAATAAACAACACACTGAAGATAATACCTCGATATCCAGAGGTAAAAAATACTTGACAATTCATGCATAACAAAGCTTATCTTCATCTACTTACTAGTATATGAAGGCAGACAAAAAAGGATCCTTTGCAGTTTGTATAACAGCCACATGGTGGCACTGTTTTCCCTTTCAGTAACCTTTTACATACATTTGCACAGCCCTGCATTCACCTATCAAAGTTCATGTACAAAGTCTAAAAAACAAGTGAGACAGACACGTCTTACACCTTCTAGAGTATCTAGACTTAATTATTAAAGGCACGTTTTCTAATGTCAAGGCCAGACTGTTGGATTTGTGCCAAATGTTTCTGTTGTGATGTTGAGCGTGTTTACTCTCTCAGTTGCTGTACCTGTGAGGCATGTTATCATTTGTTTCAGAGTAACAATAAACAATCATAGAGGGTGATGCATTTAAGTTTGCCTATAAAAGGGACATGATACTCGGCTGAAAATTCCACCTGCATATGCAGGTTAGTGCAGGTAAAATTGAAACTTTGCAGGTATACTCATATCTGATATCTACCTGCACTTACCCCATGTACCAGTCTATGTACTGGGTGTATATATATATATACATATTGGTGTATGTGGATTTTCATTTGCTGTTTTTACTGTTATCACTATGCAGTGTGAAAAATAGTGCCAATGGTTTATAAACAGTTTTGATCACAATTCACACTTACTAAATTCTGAGTGGTGGAAGTGAAAGTTGTCGGATACTGTAGTATTACAAAAAGGGATTTCAAGCCCTGCTGTTCCTAGTTAATTTCCAAGCACATGTAACAAGCTGCCTTCTTAAGATATGTACACCTTTCTATCATCTGCTTGGAGTATAAATAGTTACCTTTGCCAAGAAAACACACTTTGATATCTTGCGGTTTTCCAGAAAGCCACAGGAATTTGTTATCAGTTGGAAACAATAAACACTCCCGAAACAGGTGCTCAAGGAGCCGAAACAACATGTGTGCAAAGAGATTGAATAGAAGTTTGTTTTTTTCTTATTATTCACAGCAGCACTTAATTGAAAAGAGTAGGGGTCTTTCCCGGTGTGAGGTGTTCAAATCTAACAGTCCGGTCTTGCACAGCTTGTACTTACATGTACAAAACTGATGTGTTACACCTAAAAAGGCGGTTTACAGGTTGTGCGAAACAAACAAACAGCGGACGTTTTGATAGTCGTCTGTCATCAGGGCGGTTAGGGCTGATTCACTGTGCACTGAAGCTATAAGTGTTACTGCTAAAATGTGGTCCCAAAACATAAGCAGTGCACAGTGCCCTGGCGATAGACGGCATTCAAACGTGATTCGATGTGTGTAAAGAGATTAGAGTGCATGGGCTTTCAAACTAAAGGATATTTACTATAGCAGTGGATACAAAATATCTGTATACATTTATGATATACATTATTGATTTCATGGAGAAGACATAAGGAAAAGGTCCAAATAAATCACTGGTCATTGATGAGTGACAGGACAGAAGGCGCGAGCCCGTTACGTGCGGAGGAATTTAACCTAGCATACCGGGTCACCCCTACACTTACCACGGGCTCACTCTCCTGGCTAATCATTCACACTATCTTTGTCAAATTTTACTATCCACAAAGAAGGCTACATTCAGACAACGTGTTTTACTGATTGTGTGCCTACCATAAATTAAGTTATTAAGACCGGTTTCCTAGTAACAGGTGCAATACGCTCGCTCTCTTCTCTAATTAAGTCTAACTAGATGAAAAGAAAAGGGGGAGGTACAGTAGGTATGGTTCCTTTTAGTTATTTTAGTCGCAATCAGTAAGTACTAACTTTTTGTTTGCTCAAATCTAAATTCAGCGCACTTACAGCACATTCTCTTATCGTTACGTGAAGAAACCGCAAATGTCAGATCCCGGGACCTTTGCCCCCCTGTTTGCACAATGGGAGATTCCCCCGTCGGTCATTGCTCGGAGGAAACTTTGGACCGTGACAAATGAGTCATTGTGGCCGGCCGGGAAGTCTTGTCCTCAGCATTTAAACGGACGGAGAAAATAGACTGTGTGTTTGTCGTCCTTAACGTGCAAAGTATCCCGTACAAACTAATATAACTACTAGTATATATTCGTTCATTCTATATACTGTAAGGAATTCATTTACTTTCTTGGTGGTTACATTTTGCGGTAAGAGGAGGCTTTTCGCGAGAAAAGGAGGCTTTCACGGTGTTTTAAGGTTGTATTAAGTAATCACAGTAACGTTTAATGCCATAGTCTCTAGTAAAACATTGAAATCCCACTCTCGCGGTGGCATAGAGGTAGAAAAAAGGGAATGTTTGTACGGGAACAACAAGCTGAGTACCATCAGAGCTGATATGCCACCAAAAAGCAAAACATATAAGGCAACAAAAACTCGTAGAGGCTACTTTTGTGTATTCCCCCGCTCTAGGAGTTTAAAGGTGGAATTTAGAAGTTCCGAAAACACGAGGAAAACCCTGAGAGTCTGAGACTGAGCCGGATCCTCCTTACATCTGCTTGGAGTTTACAGCGAAACCCTACTACTGCTTTTAAAGGGCCCGGCCCACGTGATAAGACCAGCTGTTGACAAAGCGTAAACAGAGCCGAGAGAAGCTGATCTAGCTGTTTCGTCTTTGTCCGGTAGCTTGCTCAGTGTCGCGGAACCAGCTAGGGTAGCCCACACCACTGTTTATTCCCGACCCGACCCGGCCCAGTCGTACCGACTCTTCCTCACTCCGTCAATGGCTTGGCTTCGTAACGTCCTGATCGGCGCCGGCGTGGTGTTCGTCTTCGTGGCGCCGCTCTACACCTACTTCCACTTCTTCCACCACCCTCCTCCAAAGGACGCGCTGGAGGCCAACCGGCAAGCGGCGAAAGCCTTCCGGGAGAAAGCTCAGCACGCCGACGGGCCGCCGGTCGACTCCGTCCCGCAGGGTGATCAGCCGGGTCCCGATAGCAGCTCCTCCAGTAGCAGCCGAGAGGCCATAGATATCATAAACGACGTCCTAGGCGAGGAGAAAGACTTCCGAGACGAAGACACCGACTCCGACAGACCGCGAAAACAAAGAAGAACGCCACAAGAAGCCTCTAGGGTTGGATAAGAAGGAAAGCAAGCACAAGAAACCTGCGTCACCTCGTGTTTTCTACACACAGAGCGACGGGACCAAGATCAGCTTCGACCTGCCAGACGTTTCTGATAGGAGACATCTCCAAGGCGCCAAGTACTGGGACGACTTTATCGTCAAGAACGACTATGTGGAGATCGGAGAATACTGGGACAACTGTGGTGAGTGTGTGTGCGTGTGTTTGACCTTGGCCTTAGCGTCAAAATAATTTTAAGACAAATTAGTGTATAGTTACCAAAGGTGAGTTGAGTTCGTGGGGTTAAAAATTTGTTTCTTGTGCACTTTTCCACTTGCTTTTACTAATTTAACTCACTGCACTAAATCAGTAAATAATAAGCCCATTTGGGACCGTGATTACGTTTATCTGTTACAAAACCTGTACCTTAATCCATGAAGCTGATCAACTGGTGAAACGTTGTTTTTTTTCCGGAATTCCCGTGTCCTTTTTTGTCTTAATTAATGTGTGATGCAATTTGTGTATATTTCGCCACATCACCCGAAAATGCTGACTTGACCAAAAGATGATGTCATCTGCAGACGACGTTTGTGAATTGGGGAAGTTTATTTCAGCGATTGCATCATCGCCATCTCGTGGCCCAAGCGAAGCCAATGATTGTTGTTTGTTCCGCTCTTTCAGAGGCCTACCAGGGTTCAGAAGCGGCCAGAAAGAGTAGATAGAAATTGCCCAAATAGACAGATACTGGTACCATGCCAGGGGGAGTTAGGCCTCTTCAGATGTGCAAACTGTAGACCCCGGCATGTTTCTATATTTGGCCAATTTCTACTCTTTTTAGCCGCTTCTGAAGACTGAAGCCTGGTAGAGGCTAGCTATTAAGCTCACAGATCAAAACAACAGCTTCGTTGTTTTGCACCCGCTTGTACTTGTGAGCCAACTGTTGTCAGTTAAACAATAGCCTGGGGCCGAGTCATCGTCACACGCCAAGGACTTGTTTTTCACCAGGAGGAACTTGGCCGTGATTCACTTCGCGAGCAGGGGGAAAGTTTCGCGCTCAAACAAAAGCAGAAGAAAGCAGAAAAAGCTGTAAAAATCGCAGCTTTGCGTAGAATTTCGTTTGGGGCTGAAACAAATCGCTTGTACTGTTGAAGTCAGACGATGATGCTTGTTTCTATGGGAACACTAAATCCTTGGCAGATAAAATCTTTGTTTGACTCTTTTGACACTCAAAAGACACAAAAGGAGATACTACGCATAACAGCACATTTGCATGAAGATTAGGAAAAGCCCACCCCCATGGACGTAAGTGGCCGGGCCCTGATTAGGGATTACGTAACACAAGCAGCGGGATAATCTCAGAGGCAGTCAGACGTTTAGCGGCTATCTTTCATCAGTAACGTGATTATAGTAGATGCTATCTGAAACGTCCGACACTTCATAGAAGTTATCCAGTTGCTTGATTTATTTTGTATTAAGTAATGTTCTACCCGGATGTCTAACCTTCATCTTGAAAATAGCCTCTACCAGGCTTCGGGACGTGACTGAATTCAAAAATACTAGTAGTAGATATTGGCCAAAAAGAGAGATAACATGCCAGGGGAGTTGGTCCGCTAGTGAGTACAGTCTGCCGCACACGAATCTTTACTCTCTAGCGGACCAACTCCATATGCCCCTGGCATCTTATCTCTCTCGTTGGCCAAGTTCTACTCTTTTCAATCGCCTTCCGAAGTCTGGTAGAGGTTAACAATGCTGTACATCTAAACAGTGCGGTGTTTAACAGAAGGGAAGTGCATTTTTGGCCTGTACACAGCAGAGAGGTTATCGTTCCCGTGATAACTCACTTGTCGTGGCGCAACCTGCATCGACCACAGACGTGGTTCGTGGCTGCGGGACGTGCAACGCGCACGCGCGAACAAACTATTGCCCTGTGCAAACTCTCTGTGAGGACATTGGCCCGCCGCGTGAACTATCCGTGCGACGGCGGTGTTAAAGTGTGTTCGCCGAAAACTTTGTTGACTTTATTGAAAAAGAGTCAACATCTGATATGTCTGAAACACCACATTAAACCTGTAGAGACATCGTAAAAAAACCGTAACCACCTTTAAATGTAACACCAAAAAACCGTTACCACCTTTAAATGTAACACCAAAACACCACGTTGAATTCAAAATAAGTTTCAGTAACCAATATTGCAAATCGGCAAAAAATATTTAAAGATCCACCATATTCGAACCGTGACTGAGTTTGCCTGTTAACATACGTATACATGATTATCCCCAGAATTCTAGTTAAAGCAAGGAGGTTATAGGTGGAAAACTCAACGGTTAAAGTAATCTCAGTAACGGAGTGATGAAACCTTGCAGTGATTTTAGATAAATAGCATTTTTCTTGTCGCTAACTTTCCCTGTAAAATCATGCTTCAGACAAACGCGGCGACTTCGAATTCTCGACGATCAAAACAACACTTCTACAGCTTCCTGTGTATTTCGTGAGACAGACGTCCTCAAACAACAAATTACATTCTTAGTCATGTTCCAGGCTTCGTGCCAAGAAATGAAAAGCCACAAAATTGCGGGCACGCGACGCGTACTTTTGCTGACATGCCCGAACAAGCAATGCTGGGTTTTTCATGTACTTTGCCCCAATCATTGCATCAGAAACGCTGGTAAACATGTCTATCAACTTGCACACAGTAACAACCTACACGGTAGATATCTCATGTAATTAGCCTCCTTCGCAGACTTCTGATGATGCAGCGTCGTTAATTAATAATTTTTTTCGGTGAGCGACGCGAGTTATGCCGCGGATCGGAGGGACGATTTTGCCGCCGTTTCTCCCGGCGAAGTCCTTCGGCAGCAAGACCTTCCCTCTGGAGCATAACTCGCGTCGCTCCCCGAAAAAATAACGCCACCACCCAACTGTCTGCGAAGGAAGCTAATTTTGTACGTTTCTAACCCCCTCTCTGTTTGTCTGTCTGTAAGAAAAATAAGACTTTTATTAGTTTTTATGCCATTTTTTCTATGTATTCAATTGTTCTTTTTACAACCTTGGACGGCTTGGTCATCCCTAAAAATCTACACCATCCTCTTTTAGTTTGAGCGCGCTCAGGTCAGTTTTTTGGGTTACAGAAGATGGATGATCAGTAAAACCATGCCACTGTTGCCTTAGCAGCACACACAAAATCAAGATGAGTAAATAGTAAGTTGTGGTCTGATTTTAACCGTCATTTTGTTTTGTGTTTTTCAGAATACCCCACCCGTGTGCTGGGGAAAGCGACGCTACAGGAAAACGGGAACGGAGGCATCAAATCTGTCATCTTCTTCAACGCATCTTGGGGTAAGATAGATAGCAACAGACATACTCTTTTTTCTAAATATTGAAAGAAAAAAAAAGATACTAATAGCCTACTGTCCAAGCAGAGGTCGATAAGGGGCCTGGCGAGGGTGACCCGTTACATAATGTTTGGTGCGTCTTTTCTGTGGCATCAAGAGGTGTGGCATGTATCCTGACTTCGGAATAGTACGGTAAATAGCCATGACCTGACAGTTTTTTTTCAACAAAAGCTATCAAACCTATAAAACAAAGTAATATCTTGTAAATTGTATACTATGAGGGGTTAATACCTAGGAAAGTTCATTTAAATATAAGATGTCTTTCTCCCCAGACTTCCCGAAGGTAGAAGGCCTGTCCTGTGCACAGTGGGTGAAGTATAACGGCGGAGACATGTTCGATAACCAGTGGGAAGACGCCTGTGAACTGGAGGAAGACCCGAGCGGACAGTGTCCGTACAAGGGCCTGGACTGTCCACGGGAAAGTACGTATGTGTAGAGCTGTCACATAGATGGTATTTCAAGATTTCAACTGTAAATGTATTTGTGATCACATGTGCCTTCCGATGACCCAAAGACATTCTATACCGTTGATGGAAGCTTCTTGGATGACCCTACGATTTTTTTCTGTAACGATCTTACCGAACCTTGAAGTCTAGGTTTGATAAGAAAAAGGATATGCAATAGCTTAATTTCACACCACGAAAAAAATCGTATCATCGAATGTACTTTTTACTCTTTGTAAGACATCTTTCCTTGCTGTTACAGAAGCCGAAGTTGTCCAAAGAGAGATCAGCATTCCATCCTATACTCCAAGCGTAAGTGTTCAGTACATCACTTGAGTGTTTGTGTATGTATATATGTGTGTGTGAAAAGAGTCTGTACCATCTGACAACAATGCAATAAGAAAAAGGAGGACGCACAATATCGCCAATTTCTAAATTTGTGGCGCAATCCATCAACAAGTTTTAAAATATGTTAGCTATCATCTTTAAGATTCTGTTCTTATTTTTTCTCTATTTTTTTTCCAGGGTACTTACACGCAGCGCTCTGCTCTCAAGGACCAGGACGGAAATGACGTCATGTGCACCATCTCCCAGTTTACCTACTGAACATTATAAAACTCGTACTCAGGTCTACTTATAGGATAACACATAAACTTTATTGCACAACAATTATACATGTTTGTCATGTCAGCTAAGATAGTACTTAAGATTAAGATAGCACTAAAGGCTCGCTGAAGCAAGGAAAGGGTAAAATTTTCCAAACTGATGTGGTAACGTCATCCTTTGTTTTTCTTTAAGTTACCATCTCTCATGTTTATGAAAAAAATGCAGGAGTATTTTGCGTATTCAGGGTATTACATTTTGTGCAGCTTCTCTCTCTACAGTTAAGTTCTACTTTTAATCAATGGACTCAAAGATCATGATACAAAAAGCTGTTGACAGGAACTCTCTTTTCTCACTTTAAGCAAAATAAAATTAATTTCAAATACTGTGCCAATTTTCAGCTATATAACTATTTGTTGCAAAAAAAAGCCTTTTGATTTTTTTTACCCACCTAATTGTACTGATTACTTCATTTTCTTACAAAACTAAACCTTCTGCTCTTTCAATTCTATTACCTTGAATTGTAATCTACAAAATGCAAGAAGCTTCTCCATTCACAATTTATAACTACAACAGAAAGCAATAGTCATGTACTTTTTCATTTTTGGCGACTTCTCGGGGCAGAGCCTTTTGTCACTGTACTGTGGTGCTGCAGCAATGCCATTTCAATGCAAGAATAAGTAGGAGGAAGCGTGGATGTTTCAACATGGCAATGCCAACTCAATGCAACTTGTTAGGTTTAAGATAAGAAATACAGGACTTGTTAATATTCAATTTTTTTGGTTGTCAAATCTGTTTATTTCTGTGGAATGTATACCAAATATCTAAAGAATGGTTGGCACGAACAACTTGTTCTTTTAGTAAAATTTTATGAGAAAGTCTAATAACAATGAGTGCTGGACACAGAAGGTAAACATAAAAATGCACATTGGTGAAAATTTAATGATTTATTTTTTTCCACAATGTCTTGCCACCTTTTTACTTTTTACAAATATATGCTTGATTTTGACAAAAGTTTTAATAAAAATTGTGTAAGATGGATATTGGCTGTTGGTCCTTATGTTCATTGTGATTAATTTCTTAAAATATAGCTACATTTTAAGCTAAGGTAAGCCACTATCACTTTATGTGTTGATAAATCAAAGATGTTTCTGGAAAAATGCAACACATTGTGTACAGTCATACCATTAAATCTATGCAACATTCAAAATGCACAAAATACATAGTACACGTATTACATTAGTAAGTTGCATAAACTATGGTAGCACATGCTACATGACACAATTTGGTTTGCCTCTCATATTAACCTGTATAAATTACACATGCAACCAGTAATGTAAAATCTTAGAAAAAGCATGGCAGTTTTCTAACTGTAACTATTGCTGTAGAATTGATTCATTTGCATAGTTCCATAGATTTTAAAATGATTTAATTATTTCGCAGGAGGCTGTTGATCCAAGTACATGTACAGGAATATGTAGATGGCTGCCAGCATGATGGCAAAGGCAGTTACTATCAAGGCCACGTCCTGCAGAAAAAAAGATTTAAAAAAAAGATAAACAAAATATACAACAAGTTAATACAAAAGTTATTGACTTAAAACATTGACATACGAGCAAACATTGCATTGTCAACAATAGGCATAAATTGTGAGACATGGTAACTAACATGTAGTTGATTTTCTCAAGGAGGTTATAACCTCAATTTTCTGAAATATTTTCGGAGCATTTTTAAGCTGTTTCAACATCAGTAAAACATAACTAGAAATTACATCTTAAAGGTGAAAAAAGAACACTTAAGCCACCTTCACGCCCATTGCAGACTCCTTCATATCCTTCAGCTGTTTTGTTGCTTTCACATCTTTTTTGGCTTTCTTCCAGTCTTGTTTTCCTGCAAAGGTAGAAATATTTACTGTAAATTCTCTTAAGTTTGCACACACATTTTTGGCACTATGAATGATATCCTGAATGTATGATACTTGTGATCCTTTGATTTCTTTCTCAAATAAAAAAAGATTCAGCGGCAAATCTGAGAACCTAGAAAAACATCTGTGACATATCATGGAATATAACATGCAACATCACAGAGAGGTGACACGAAAGGTCAGAAAGCACATGACTGACCAGACGTCCAGACCACCTGGTCAAAGGTCAGCTTTACATGTTTACAATACTACTACCAGTATGTGCAGTGTACATCATGCCCGTAGCCAGGATTTTGAATGGGGGGGTTCTTCCCACTGCTTGAGGGGACCTTGAGCGCCGTAGGCGCAAGGCGAGCGCCGAAGGCGCGAGGTTCCTAGGGGGGGTCCGGGGGCATGCTCCCCCGGAAAATTTTGAAAAATGAACCTTCTAAAATGGCATTTCGTGCGTTTTTGAGAGGATTTCAAAGAAAAATCGGAGATAAGTTTCTATTCAATGACAAAGGGAGCAGTTTTTCTACGATTCCAGTCCATCTTTTCAAGAAAACTCTTGGACCTTTACATAAAAAGTGGACCAAAAAGTGGACCTTTACATAAAAAGTGGACCAAAAAGTGGACCTTTACATAAAAAGTGGACCAAAAAGTGGACCTTTGAGCCTTGTGGGGGGGTTCTTCCGAACCCCCGAACCCCCCCTGGCTACGGGCATGTACATATACACTGTCTTTGTGACAAAAGCTGTCCCCATATACAGAATACAAGCAATCGCCATGACATTGCCACCATCAAGTGGTTGGCAAAAACGGTTGGGAGATTTGCCTACTGACAATTTGCCTTCAAGAAATTTACATGTTCTTGATGCAAACAAAAACACCAATCACTCATATAGATCATGATCATATAGAAGACCAGTTGGGTATTATGATTGATAAACATTTCGAAGCACTCACCAATTTTCTTCCTATACTGGTCGACGCTCAGAGTTGCATTGCTGACTTCTTTCCTGCCCATGACTTCTAGAGATGGAACACTGATAGTAACAACAACACAACAAAAAGACACCACAGTTGTCAAAGAGCTGTTGTTAACATAATCTTTTAAAAGTGACTGGGTTTTTATTATGCAAATGACATGTAATCGGCAGAAAATTTGAGAAATGTCCAGGAAATTGTAAACAACAACATACAGTACAACAGCAACAAATAACAAAGAAATCAGATTCATCAGAACAAGGAGCTTCTACACAGTGTACTAGAAGCTCCTTGATCAGAAGAACTAGTAACGTTAAGCAATTTCTGATGAACAAATATTTTCAAGAAAAAAAAAGAACTTAACGTTAACGGTTAAAACGTTATATTCGTAACGTTACAAGTTTATTCGAGGATACAAACTGCTATTTCGATCAAATGTTATCGTCTGTCTGTACCCTTGAAAAACCAGGATACGCAGGAATGTATCTGGCTAATCGATAAATTATTTTGTTGAAGAGACTTCAGCTCAGCTCAGCGCCACGTAACTTCGCCCCTCCCCCTACACGACAGCTAGTAGCCGTTTACTCGGTTTCGCAAACTATTTCTTACTCCAAAGCTTAAAAACATATTCAGACTGGTAGATAATTGACCCCAAACATCTAATTTCGTCTTACCTGTGTTGTTTGGGCAAGATTTCGTGTATCGCCCGGGTTGGAAAAGTTTTCTTTGCTCACTTGCCGTCCATGTTTACGTTTAGACAGTGATCACTATTTTATAGGGAAGTTCATATACTTGAGATTTTCTGTTTTTACAAACGACATTGAATAATGAGTAACCAATTAAATACATTTATGAAATAATATAAGTTTAAATGTACTAGTTTGTCTTTTGTTCTCTGTTTTTGCATGAAAAACTCTTTGATAAGAAATCTAGTCCCCCATTTTACAGTCGTCTCGTCCTGGGTACAGAGTGCAAAGGTCAGGACCAAGACGACAGGATGCTGCTTCGAATCTTCACCTCCAGGGTTAGACATTTTAACCTTCGTCCAACCTTCTACCTCAAGAATACCGCACTTTTTCCTCAAAATGGCTTCTACTTCTCCTCCTCATCAACTCAAGGAATCCCCGTCTTCCTCAAAGCCCAGAAATACGCCGACAGAACGGCCATCATTGACAGAAACGGGTCACACTCGTACCTGGACTTGCTCCAACAAAGTTGTCTCCTCTCGCAGAGAATCTCCTCACTTCTGGGTACCAGTAACGACGTCAGGGGGGCAAGGATAGCCTTCCTGTGTCCCAATGATGTCTCCTATGTCATCTCCCAATGGTCTACTTGGATGAGTGGCGGTGTGGCCGTCCCTTTATGTAAAACTCACCCCGTGCCGGAGTTGGAATATGTCCTCTCAGATTCCCAATCCTCCGTCCTCCTCTACACAGAAGACTACGCGGATAAAGCCGCTATCGTAGCCGAAAACTCGAACGTCAAACCTCTCCTGTTGAAGAGAGAGAACTATATCCAGAAGGAGAATAAAGAGTTGGAGAGTAACGCGGGAGAATGTGTGGACATCCTTTTGGATTTGGGAAGTCGAAGTTGGAGGGACAGAGACGCGATGATAATCTACACTAGTGGCACCACGGGAAGGCCCAAAGGTGTGCTGACCACGCATAAAAACCTGCAGGCTCAGGTATCTACTGGTTTGCTTGTGTCGCATAACCGGTAGAGTTCTACATTCAGGCATGACACACTGCCAGTTTTGGCAGTAAACTTACTAAGTTACAAGCTGTGTGTCCATAACAAAGTAAATGCATAATGTTCACCTTCACATATGGTCCCCATATGGTCTGCTCTGTTAATTCTTACACAAACACATTCATATATATGGTGACAGGAGTCGAAATCCCTCCTGCTAAAAAAATTGCAACATGATGTAACCCAACACTAGTTACCATGGTGACAGACATCTGGTTCAGGTCATTAACCTTAATTGTTTGGAGAAGAAGAAGAGGAAGAAGAAACAGAGCAAAAACAATATGTTTTCCTCCTGCAAAGGTAAACATAATACTGTAAATGTATGTTTGCCTGTAAATAGGTAAATTGCTGGGTTTTTTTTCAGGTGGATGGGATGGTTGAGAGCTGGGAGTGGTCTCCCACGGACGTTCTGCTGCACGTCCTGCCGCTGCACCACGTCCACGGGGTCGTGAACTGCCTGATGTGTCCACTGGCGGCGGGGGCCATGGTCACCATGATGGAGCAGTTCAGCGCTGAAAACGTCAGCAGAGCATTTTACTAGCCTCTACCAGGCTTCAGGAGGTGGCTGAAAGGAGTAGCCTGGTTACCAAACCTATTATAGCTCCTGAGTCCTATAAATAGAAGATGTAGGACTCAGGTTTGGTAACCAGGCAAGAAAAGAGTACAATTTGGCAAAATAGAGAGAGATAACATGCCAGGGGAGTTGGTCCACTGGAGAGTACAGTTCTCTAGCGGACCAACTCCCCCGGCATGTTATCTCTCTCTATTTGGCCAATTTCTGCTCTTTCCAGCTGCCTCAGGTAGCCTGGTAGAGGCTACATTTTACATTTATTACTGTAGGTTTTGAAACGCCCATAGTGTTTTTAATTTCGTGCTGTTTTTGACCTTATTTATTTCAACTGTTGTTAAGTATTCATGTACGCCTGTCTGCTGATACAGAAAAAATTTCAATTGCTAGCCAATACAGTATTCTGATTTCTGAATCTAATTTGTAAACTCTGTATTTATCCAACATTTCTGTTTAAACTCTGCCAGGCGTGGAAAGCCCTACTGAGTGCCTCCCTGCTGTCCCAGTGGTCTGACTCAGTCTCCCCGCGGATGAACGTGTTTATGGCAGTTCCCACCGTCTACGCGAAGATGATCGAACACTACGACAAGCACTACACCAAACCTCGCGTCAGGGACTACGTCAGGGCAGTGTGCAGGGAGAAGGTTAGGTGAGTCCAAGGGTTTATGTGTACATCAGAGCTGGAAATACTACACACTGCATTGGTGCAAGTAACATCGAAAATTACCTGCACCAAGCAAATTTTACCTACACCACTGGAAAATAAGGAAGTATGAGATAAAATTAAGTACAAGCTCTAAAAAAAAAGAGATCAGACTGAGAGTTCTAACCTGCACACACCATAATGGACTTATACTGTTATCAATAAGTGTGGTGTTCCTCAAGGTGTGGCTGTCCATAAGCTCAAGACTACTTTTAAGGTTGAAGAGTCATAGTTTGAAACATTGAACAGTCTGGTATGTTGACTTTGTGGCTCCCATGGTCTAACACAGATAGTCAATTTTTTCTGTTTTTATTTTTGTTTAACCTACCTGCTCCATTTGTACTTACATGAACAAATGTATCTGAAAAAATCCGAGATCCAACAAAATGAATTGGTGAGGCCCAATCAACTAGTCCATTGACACTATGATAGTTAATAAATTAATGACCCAATGATGAATGTTTGCAGAAGGGGGGGGGGGGCATGTCAGGGCTTGAGTGAGCTCTAGTTGCCTGATTATACAGATATCATGGCTGGCAATACCACCTGCATATGCAGGTTAATTAGTGCAGGTAAATTTGGACCTTTGGAGGTATTTCTGATGTCTACCTGCACCTAACCTGCACTGGTTTGTGTACTGGGTTTATATGTACATGTATTTTTGAGTGTTGGTGCAGGTAATTTTCAGTGTTGCCTGCACCAGTGCAGGTATGCAGAAAAAGTATTTCGAGCCCAGGATATCTTCTCTGAGCGTGTCTGTCTTCACGTGATAGGACACAGGTAACCAATCATGTGAAGACGGCCACGTGAAACACCTTAGAGGTCGGTAAACAGGACTTTTGACCCTTCATATCTACAGACCAAGACTTTTATTGGTAGAAGCAACGTAGTGTTTGAACACTGTTTTGGCAAGAGTTTTGAGTGGTACTCTTGGTTTTAATACTGTACATGTAAATCCATTGAAGTTTACAGTACTGAAATTTTGTTGTACAGTAAAAGCCATGAGTGTGCAATATCTTTGCAGTTGAAACACTAGAAATAGTGTTTTTTCCAGTAACATAGTGGAAGACAAAATGTATGTAACAGGGAAATACATTTTGTACTTTTTTTTAAAAGTCCTTGTCAAATTGATATAAAAAATGAGGGTGGAAGTCACTAGTTTTTGCCACACCAATTTAATCAATTAAAGGAACACAGGCAACTCCTAACCATGGTTGGGGGTAGTTTGGCCAGTGTTCAGGAGGCCATATTAGGATTTGAGTTGAATTGGCATAGCCTTATGATGCCCTTATCATAAATACTGTAATAGTGGGGTTCAAGCGCCTCTAATTGATCATTTGAATGGGTCCGGACCTTTAATTTTGGCGTAGTTTCTACTTGCTCCTGTTTTTTTTTTACTGGTTTCCACACTGGTAATTAAACCTGGGCCTCGGCGGTGAGAGCAACAAATCCTAACCACTAGACCATATGTAACAGTGGGGTTCAAGCGCCGCTAATTGATCCATTCCATAGTCATTAGTGTGCTGGTGTCATAAGCTGGCTGTCCAGGTTCAGCACAGGTTCGATTCCCAGTGTCCCGGAAGTCAGTGGGTCTTGTGTTTCTACTCACTCCTGTTTGTTTCAATACTTGTTTGTGTTGCAGACTGATGGTGTCCGGTTCGGCGGCCCTCCCCCAGCCTATCATGGAGAGGTGGGAGGAGATCACGGGACACCGGTTGCTGGAGCGCTACGGCATGACGGAGGTCGGCATGGCGCTGTCCAACCCTCTGCACGGGGACAGGCGCGCCGGTTAGATCTTATTGCCCCTTCCTTTCAAGCCTTCAAGTACATGAACCAGAGTTTTCAACCAAGGATTAAGGTGTTCAAAAAGTCATTCTTTACTACAACTATCGCAGAGTGGAACTCACTGTCACCAAGTACAGTAGGGGCATTGTCATTAATACCAACTCTTCTTTTTTTCCATTTCCTCTTATATTTTGTTGTACATGTACATGTACATGTACAGGCTCATGGTAAACTGATTTCTTACTGTTGATAGGAACTGTGGGTAAGCCCATGCCTGGAGTAGAAGTCCGTATAGTCCAGCAGACCAGTGCAGCCGGCTCACAGGACAGGACTGTAGTGGCTCAGGGGAACCACAGTTACACACAGGTAGGCTAAAACATGAGCCACGTTGGTATCAAAAAGGTATTTTGCTTCATCTCACACATTACACTTTTAGTTCTCCATGTTTTTTTTTTTTTAAATTTTCTAGCACGTAATACTGAATGAATGAAGACCTTTATTGCACATTTCTGCCACACTTGGCTAAGTACAGGTCACAACAAAACAATAAGAATGAACACGGTTAACAGGTACAAAATTAACTATCGTTATATAAATTCAACTTCTCCTCGCTTTTCTGTACTGCAGGTTTTCCCAGGACTTGAAGAACAGGAAGGGGAACTGTTAGTGAAGGGACCAGGTGTGTTCAAACAGTACTGGAACAGGCCAAACGCCACCACTGATGCCTTCACTCAGGATGGCTGGTTCAAGACAGGTCAGTTTTTCTTTCATCAGATTGTCAAAATCTCTCTCGGTATGGTTGACCAGCTTTAATGTGTCGTCTTTGATTTACCAGGCCGGACTTCCATGGCTTCCAGAACAATTTGAGCGCATTTCGCCCTAAATTCAAATACAGAATTTGGACGTTAGAATTGATGTTGTTGCATTTTTGGGTTTAGGGACACTAAATTTTGGCTCATTTTGCATTGAAAGGCGCATTTTCTGGGGTGGGTATGATATAAATAAAATTCAGCACGGTGTATTCTGCATTGCCCTCGGTCCCAGCCCTCCCGCGAGTCGGATCGTGGTTGGGCCGATACCTCAGGCGATATGGAATAATCCGTGTTGTATTCTATATTTATTATATCATTATACCATACATTTAATATAATTCCCTCTTCCTAGGTGACACTGCGGTGTTGAGAGACGGCTACTTCAGCATCCTGGGTCGCACCTCTGTCGACATCATCAAGAGCGGTGGCTACAAGATCAGCGCCCTGGATGTGGAGCGCCACCTGTTGGCCCATGACGGTATTGCAGACTGTGCAGTGGTGGGGGTTTCTGACATGACGTGGGGTCAGCGTGTTGCTGCTATACTGGTGCTAAGGGAAGGTGCTAGCTTGAGCCTTGGAGAACTGAAACACTGGGGTAAGGACAGAATGCCAAGCTACATCATCCCCTCTGAGATTAAAATTGTACCCATCTTACCGAGGAATGCGATGGGAAAAGTCAACAAAAAGGATCTTCTCAAAGAGTTTTTTTCTGAAGCAGCCAGCTAAGGTACAATTTCTGGTCTGCTATAATAAGGCCATGTTGATTTGATTATATGGATGACATCCTCCGGGAGCCCCAAAACTGATGCGCGCGTGCGAATAAAAAAAAAGTTTTGCAAAAAAAAAGTTCTTTTCATTATGAAATCTACATGGTCATGAGGGTTGAGCAAATGGCACAGAATATGGTTTGGCGAATAATCTAGTCTTCAAGTTCATTTCTTTACAATTTCGTCTTTTTTCGTTTGATTTTGGCATTCTACGACATTGGTATAGTTTTTATTAATTTTTTTTGTAAACTTATGGTATATTTTTGCTCATTTTGCAACTGTTTTGTACGATTTACAGTATGGTTGAAAACTTTTCTTTTTTTTTGGAAACGGCCGAAAATTCATGCGCGCGCGGATGTCATCCATATAATCAAATCAACATGGCCTAATGTTTAGGTTTGGGATGGAAGTTAGCATCAGAAAAAGGCCATTGTAACTTAATTTTTACTGCTGTATTGCTTAGTAAGCAGAACCAACTTTTTAAAGAATTTTTTAGAATTGCTCCAGTGCAAAGATCAAATTTTCTACCTCATCATCATGCTTTTTTTTAATAAGTGGGGAAATTTTAAGATATATGAATATTGTTAACAAGAGGTGGAGATAAATGTAGTTTTATAAAAATTCCAAAGATTTAAGACATTTGCACCCTAGATGTAACAAGTCCATCATATTATACACAAAATGCAAGATCTTCTCAGCAATAGCAGATTTTATACCTCTGAACTCCTGAGAACATTGGAATCACCCATACTAGTATAAGAACAAGAATTTTAAAGCACTTCTGATTGATACTATTTTTAGAGGTTAAAGACTCTAAATGTTCTGTGTACTTAAATTCAGGAACTTTAAATGGTTGACTATGAATTGCAATACATTTACTGTAATCCCGCACAAGTGTGAGTATTATGTATTTTTATGACAATAAAACTCAGGAACACGGCGTTCGAATCTTGCTTTACGATGACGGATCATAATGACTTGTACCAACACAAATGAACAACTGCTTGAGTTGAGCAGTAAAATAATTTTAATCAAAGCAAACTAGCAAGCCCGCCACATTTACAATCATAGATCACAGGACATTAGATCATTTCCCAGATTGACCATACATGTATTTGTTGAACTTGCAGGTATTTAACTTGTTTATGAAAAGTGCTGAAGTCATTGTTCAATGCATGATTACAGGCATCAGTGCGGAGTATATTTTCAGGCAAAATGTTTTTAACGTTGTACTGCTTTATGTGCAATGTACTGCTTTATGTTTTTTTTCCATGACAATCAACCGATTTATATATTATATATAATTAGGTGGCGGACTATCTAACATTAGTACTACAGAGCAGATGAAAAAAAATATTGTACTAAAGCTTGATTTGGAATGCATGGCTGAACCGCGTGCATTTTGTCCGACTAATTTAGTGCACAAGAATTTGTGGGAACGACTTAACTGAACTGGCCAATCACTGTTTTCCCATTCCCAGTTTGCATAGCACGAGGGGGTCTGAAATACCGGTATGTGTTCCTTTGGGATTAAAGAGCAACCTTCATTTTAGATTCTATCATGAACGAATGTAAATTTTACATTCGTTCATAGGTCGTAGGTCGTATTAATTAAAGCTGGCTGCACGGGTTTGATGCGGTTTCAATTCCCAGCGTTCCGAGAGTCGGGGGGTTTTCCTGTTTCTCCTCACTCCTATTTGTTTCAGTATGTTGAATCATTTCATAGGCTACAACATATGTTGAATTATAGTATGGGCTAAAATAACGAGCTGAACAGTATGTGGAACACCGTTTTTCTCAGACCGTTTTTCTCAAATTTCGTGAAATTTTGCTACCGTGAACGTAAAGTGTTTTACAGTAACCCTCCCCCCTGTCTCTTTGCATCTTGGGAATGGGAAAATGTTATTGAAGTTCTACCCTTGCGGCCCCCTGCCCCTCCACTTGGTCAGGTCCACCTGGGGCAGAGAGGAGCACGCCACCCTCTCGTTCCCAGGCTGGGTGGGCAGCCTGAAGACGTCCGGCTGCATGTGTGTGGTGCCGTCCGTGTTGTCGCACAGGATCCGGGCCAGACTGGTCTGCCTGATCTCCGCAAGTTGGGCTGCAGAAACACGGCCACGGAAAATAAACATCATCATCCTGAGATGAACCCACTTACACAAAACCTTCATAGTCACCTATTCTGTTGCACAGATCTCTCTGGATCAAGCTGGAGAAAAAAGTGGAAAGATGTAACTAGGAATTTAACATTTGCAAAGTAAATGCATAATGTTTACCTTCTCATATGGTCTGCTATGTTAATTCTTACTCAAACACATTCATATATATGATCTGACAGGAGTCTAAATCCCTCCTGCTATAAAATTGCAACATGATGTAACCCAACACTAATTACCATGGTAAACCTTTTTGGTTTGGAGAAGAAGAAGAGGAAATGTAGCAAAAACAATATGTTTACCTTCGATAAAAATAACAATACTGTTTTGTCTGTCATTTTGAAATCTGAGGGGTAAGCGTAGCTATAGCCAACCTCCAGTAAACTGTACGCGGTTCTCGAACCAGAAGCGGTCCCCCTTGCGGAGGTCCTGGAACTGCAGGCCGATCAGACAGGCGAAGGTTGGACCGACGACACCGCCCGGCACGGACTCCTCGGCAAGAGCCCCCGCGAACAGGTCGATGTCGTCCACGTGGCTGTGCAAACGATACACATGCAACATTACAAATACTAGTATTCTCTATCCGTCACATGCACATACCGTCATACGTTATTAGTTTTTATTGGAGATAGAAAGTCAGACTAGTACATGTATATCTAGAAGGAACTTTATACCACCATCAGTGTGTTCTGTACTCATTGTCCTTGCCGGTTTGCAATTATCTCTCGCGCATGAACTTGCAACAAAGAGCTTCTTAAATTCTAAATAAGTAATACCGGTAGCCACCACATATGGCGTGAGGCACTTTGTCCCGTATCATGTAGATAGATATGACAATATAGCAAGTCCCACCTGTACACATGCTGCAACCTCTTTCGGGTGTAAGGGTCTGGAATTTCAAACACCAGTTCGTCGAAGCTGTTGGCTTTCACCAGGCCACACCTCTCCCTCCAGGCGTTGTAGCCGGGCAGCCCGTGGTCTCTGCCCCGCTGGATGTTCAGCGCCGCCAGGTCCAGGCCGAGAGAACCGGGAGGATCCGCGAACAGGTGCTTCGTCAGGCCCGAGACCATGAACCGGTCGAAGTCCTGATGGGGCTGGGTGGTCATTCCCCGCAGGATGGAGTCCGGGCCGCCCTCGTTGTTGTTGAAGATCTGGGTCGGATTGAAGAAACCAAGGGCCAGCTGAAACGGGCACCTGCTGCCCTGGTTAAAGTCTGGATCAAAGCGGAGGAGAAGGTTCTGGACCAGGCTGTGGCCGAAACGGAAGGCTGCCGTAGCGAAGACGTTAGAGATGGTGGGGTTCACGCTCGCGTCGTACCCGGAGAAGTACCCGTTCGTGGCGAGGGTCAGGTGAAACTTGGTCATGGCGTCGGGCCCGACAACGCGAGGAAGAAATTCGCCGTACGTGATCTTCTGCATCAGCGCGCCGACGATGTGCCTGGTCTCGAAGAACACCCGATCGTCGTCCCAGCGCGGGTTGAGTTGGGAGAGCCGCCTGGCGATCCTGTTGTGTTCCCGCAGGAAGACGGTGTGCATGGAGGTCAGTCCCGGCTGCTCGTTCACACGGACGTCCCCGGCCTGCGAGCACGTCTCGGCACCGGTAAATTCGGCACACTCAAACGCCTCCGCCATGGCACCGGGCAGGAGTTCCTTCTTGTTAGCGTCTGCAGGGTTCGGTCTGGACTTCAGCAGGCCGCGCCCTCCTGGAAGAGAAAGAGGTGGATTAGTGAGGAGGTACCCTACAGCGCGTACTGGAGTAGGGATGTCGTTGTTGAAAATGGGATTTCAAAATACATCAGGAAGATAGATTGGTAGGCTCAATTATTTTGGAGTTGACCAGGCGAACATTTAGGTTTAATAGTCCGCAATCACAGTTCAAACCTGATTCAGAATGACTTCGAACAACACAGATGAACTTTCAAGCTAAGATAACTACCAGAGTGTTCTCTGAGCGCCTCTATCTCTTCGTCCGAGGAGCCGTAGACGTTGGAGGCGTCCACGAAGGCGGTGATCTGGTTCAGCTGCTGCCGGCGGCCCATGTGGCACCCTTCGTTCGGACTGGCTTTGGAGCGAGCGAACTGCAAGCAGGGCGTCCCTGCGAAGTCAGGGTCGTCAGAGGGGATGTCGATGTTGAAACAGTGTTCGTCCTCGGAGTCACAGGTACAGGTGATACCTGAAGATACACAAAGGAAAGCAGACATATGAGATGGAATAAGGTGCGTAATGAAAGGTAATGAAGCATTGTACATCTCGACCGAACAACTTTTATTCGAGACAAGGAAGATACAGGCTTCCCACATCTTTCACCCACCGTTCTTATGTTATGCGGCAAGATGAAATGACGTGCTCAACCCAATCCAGAAACCCTGCTTTTGTTAATACTGAACGACTGAGGCCATATGCAGTGTTGTCACTATATTGTCCCAACGTCAGTCGTTGTAGAATTACAAATAACTGAAGTAAATGCATCAAAAGACACACACTTGACCTATCTACAAGTCTTTCGCGTTTTGCTGTGTAGTAAGGAAAAAAAAAAGATTAATCAACCTTCTTCCTGGACGCTAGGTGTGAGAGTGAAGTCGTGATCCAGGAACTGCCCGAACTGCATGACCATGTGGGTGTTGACCGGGCTGGATTTCCGCAGGTCCTCGTGCATGACCGTGCTGACCAGCCGCGCGCTGGGTAGGGGGGCCCCGCCATGTCCAGTGATGCGGGGTCTCATAAGCCCTGGTGACGAAACATGGTAAGCTAAATTATAGGAGCGCAGACATCGTATCCAGAACCATGTCTAGTTATGTGCCTGGATGGGTTAGTTCTATCATCAGTGAATAGTTTCCGCGTACGCGTGTGGGCTATCAAGAACCGTACCTAGCCTGAGCATTGGTATGGATAAAGCCTTTGCAGGTTGCCGTTCAAGTGAAATTAGATTTTACTATTTGTTTTATCATAAGCATCAGCATGGCTTCTTGTTGGAGAGTACCAGAAATAGTTCCTCTCTTTACAAAGCGGCAGTGACTTCATGGCTGTAGAAGTGCAGTGCAGTCAGGCTAGGGGCCTGACCAGCGGGGCAGCTATAAGCGTGATGTAGTCAGGCTAGGGGCCTGAGACCAGTGGAAGGGCTGCTAGAAACGTGATGTACTCATGCAGGCTAACATCTACCTACCGTCATTATAGTCTGGTTCCAGTAGCCTTTTCAAGGGTTGCTCAGTACTTCCCCATAGGGGGTTGTCTCGGTTGTTACAACGGCCGTTTGCTGAACGGAACTCTGCACGGGGTGGTCTCAGTCTCGGGCACGTGATCGGCTCCATGGAGGTGTCGTTACAAAGACCTGTAACGGTCTCGGAGTCGATGGCACAAAGCGTTTCCAGAGTGAAGCTTCTACAACAGAAACAACAGTCAACTAGAAAGGTAACATTTGTGAGGAAAATGCATAATGTTTACCTTCGCATTTGGTCTGATCTGTTATTTCTTACTCAAACACATTCACATATATGGTAACAGGAGTCTAAATCCCTCCTGCTATAAAATTGCAACATTATGTAACCCAACACCAGTTACCATGATGAGAGTCTGATTCATGTCATTGACCAGGTTAGAGGTCAGTGTTTGGAACGGAAGAAGAAGAAAGAGAGCAAAAACAATGTTTTCTCGAGTCGGTAAACATAAAGATTTCTGTCAAAAGACAAATCTCCGCAAATTGAAAAAAAAATACAGCTTTCGATAACCTCCGTGCTTCATCAACAAACCTTTTTACGGACACCAATCCATGCTGGGAGGCGAAGGGCAATCTGGATGGAAAGACAGCTGACGTACAATTGCTCTGATATTGACCATTTGCTTGTTTTTGTCTTGTCATTTACTCACAAGAGACGGAAGCTCTCACCTGTCCTTGAAGTGTTTTGCCACCCTCTCCAAGACGGTGGCACACTTGCTGAGCTCAACGGCCATCCTGGTGGGGCGATGTACCCTGTTTAGCGCGTTCAGAGCTCCGGAGAACGGGTTTTCCTCTGGTTCAGCCCCTGGAATTCGAAGGCACAGGGGTATTAAAGCTCAGTCACAGGTATAGTTTTAGTCTGAGACCACAGTTATAATTTTGTCAACCTTGCTAACGATGATGTACTATCGGACCGCAAATTCACATACCAGCTTCGTATTCATTTGGTTTAGCAGCATTTTTTTTGGCTGGAATTTTTTCATTCACCCGGGCGCACTAGTTTGGGGGTCTTCAGAGGATGTCATCCATAAAATTAAGGCACTGTGGCCTGCACTAAAATAACGTGTCCACGCCTGATCTATATGCTCACCTCCGCTGACATTGGCGGACGATTCATTCTCCACTTCTGCCCTTGCCTGGTCGATCGCCTGCTGCAGTTCTCCTTCTGTAGGCGGCTGGTCGGTAGCCATGACAACCAGCGGCGCCATGGCAACCGCGGCGACGATTATCGGGATCAACCTGAGAGCAGTGGAAACCCTCGTCACCGTTGTGTCTTATTTGTTAAGCAGAACAGAGTGATCGATAATGATTGGTCGCGTTGATTGTGGAGTTTAAGCAGAACAGACGGTCGGTGCTGATTGGTCGCGGTGTTTCTGGGGTTTAAACAGAACATAACGGTCGACGCTGATTGGTCGCGGTATTTCTGAGATTTATATAGAACAGAGCGGTCGACGCTGATTGGTCGCGGTTTTTCTTTGGTTTAAACAGAACAGAAGGGTCGATATAGTGATTGGTCGCAGTGTTTCTGGGGTTTAAAACGAACATAGCGGTCGGCGCTGATTGGTCGCGCTGATTCTGGAGTTTAAACAGAACAGAACGGTCGGTGCTGATTGGTCGCAGTGTTTAGGGGATTAAATTTCCATGGCGTCATAACCAATATAAAATGGGTCTTCTGATTGGTTCCAAAACCTCGAGCTTTGATTGGACCAACCATTCGAACTCAAGCTTCTCAATTGTACGAGGTACAACGTAAGGCATCCACTGACACTAACCTAAGAGTCACTGTCTATAAGGTATGTGTTGACAGCCATCAGCAATGCCATGCCTTCAAGTACCAGAGTTATCAACCAAGGATTGAGGTGTTCAAGAATTCATTCTTTCCTAGAACTATCGCAGAGTGGAACTCACTGTCACCAAGTACAGTAGGGGCATTGTCAATAGATAGCTTTAAACAATGTCTAGAGCTAGAAGTTCAAGGGTTAGGTGTAACAAGTCGATCGGTGTAATATAGCCAGCTGCCGCCGCGCCGCGTGCCTGCGAAGCTGGTGTGTTACGCCGAAAGGCGGTTATACCGGCTATACAGATACAGATACAGATACAGATACAGCAAGAGCCTGCATTGTCAGCAAGTATAGGATGAAAATATACAATTACAGTGCATTTCTAGCGTTTAGACAAGGCGGTACTTGATCATAAACAAGCCGGAACCATCCACTACCTGTGATGTGACATCGCGTCAGAAAGAACAATGCACGAGACGTTGAATTTATAATTAGCAATGGCAGTTAAGACAGGTCAATGACATCATAACGTCCTTGGTCGGGTCTATAACGTTTACTTCGTATCAAGTACCTGGCTTTATCATGGGAGTCAATAAATGTCAAGTACAATAATTTCATTTACAACCCTCGTTATGTCCGGAACCACCGCACTTGACTTTTATTTACGGTCACTGTAAAGTCCAGTACTGTTTATAAGGCCACAGCAAGTAATTTTTATGGATGACATCAGCGCGCGCATTAATTTTCGCCTGATTTTGGAAAAAAAACAAGAAATTTTGTTGCCTTCTGACAGTGGCCACCATGCCGAAAATAGGCCAACATGTCTGTTGCCATGCCGGAAGGTGGATGGCAGATAACTATTAAAAGAAAGGAGACAAGACAAGGCTCTGATGTTTTGTTTCTTACTTTGATGCAGTGATATGTGATGCTGGCTGTGTATATGTGATGTTCCCATTGAATCAAAACCATTTGTACAATGATTGAGTCAAAATTTCAAAATGTAAGAACCTTGTTTTTTTCGGCCCGCCTTGTTTTTTTCGCCCGATCGCATTAGATTTGGAATCTGTGGAGGATGTCATCCATAAAATTTACTTGCTTTGGCCTAAAGCATTATTAAAGATTATACGACTTTACTGGTATTCATGAGAAGCTCAAATCAGCCTGTAGGCCGCTTTTAATTGAGATCACGAGGTAAGGATCAGACAAAATGTATCAAAAGGATAAACTTTAGTACGTAACAGTAGGACGTAATGTGAACATTATGGATATCCGCAAATTTTATACAATGTTAAAGTACCTTCATAGAGAGTCCTTCCTGTACTTCAACTAAAAAAGACTGGTTTGATCCACGAAAATCATGAAAGCCTACTTATAACAAAGGAAGACGATCTTAAAGTCTTTTCGTCTTTTCTTAGAATTCGTCTCAAGTCTGCCTTCTGGTTAAGCTTGTTTTCATTTTGGGGGCACTTTACCTAAAATGCAACATCAAGGAATACCTGTAGCCTTCTGAATTTTTTAAAGTAGATTTTTGAAGTGAATCTATCCAGAAGAGCGGGGCCTGTAACATGCTACCAGAAGGGAAAGGTAGAATGGCTTGAAATTTGTAATGTGACGTTGGGACCCTGCGCCTAACGTTATTAAACGGCAAAACACAAAGAACTACGCGCACGTTTGATAACAGGTACTAGTACTTTTGGTGACAGTTAGGCAGCAAGGCAATTCACATAAAGTTAAGGGATACCACAATACTGACGATTTGTCTTATTGTCTGTCATATACATCGGCGTTAACGAAAAGAGAAATTATGAAATCCACAAGCAGAATGTATCACAGCTCATCAATGATGAAGAGGATTGAGAAGAAGAAAGAAATGCAGTTTGCGAGTAAATACCTGACTTGGGGGGGGGGTGGTCTGGAGGGGGGGGGATAACTGTTTTGTCCGCAGGAGATAAAGCAAAATCCCTCGGACCCAAAGTCACTCTCCAGACTGGGAAGGTTCTGTACCACCCCACATGGCAGAAATGTGGTCCAAAACGAGTACCGTCTGGTCGAATACTTCGCATCGCTAATCTACAAGCAGGTATCGATCATCCGAGACCTTTGGCCAATGTATACTTACGTTGTGCCCTTGGGAAAGGCACTTAACACGTAGAGGGATCCTGGGTCCTACTAGGGTTTGGGTTGGCGTTAGGAAGGGCATCTAGCCGTACAAAATCTTGCTTAAAAAAATACTTGCACTTGATGCAAGCACGTCTAACCCCCAGACGTTAAAAACTGGATAGAGATAGAGAGAGTTGGGGGCAAAACTGGAGGGCGCGGGAGGAAGGCAGATTTGCATCGTGGGTTCAGAGGAACAACGAGGGCAAAGCAGAAGGAGGTAGGTAGTAGGTGTGGGTGGACACGACAAAAAACGTTCTTCCGACCTTGCTAACATGACGTCTGTACGAGCCGCGCCGACTGGAGACGATGTCGAGCCGACGGGAGGACGATGCCGAGCCGACTGGAGGACAATGCCAAGCCGACGGGAGGACAATGCCGAGCCGACGGGAGGACGATGCCGAGCCGACTGGAGGACAATGCCAAGCCGACGGGAGGACGATGCCGAGCCGACTGGAGGACAATGCCAAGCCGACGGGAGGACAATGCCGAGCCGACTGGAGGACAATGCCAAGCCGACGGGAGGACGATGCCGAGCCGACTGGAGGACAATGCCAAGCCGACGGGAGGACAATGCCGAGCCGACGGGAGGACGATGTCCGACCAACGATGTCGAGCCGTGAGAATGGCGTAGGTTGCCTTGCACGAAACTTTGGACTTACCAAATGGTACTAAATGCTATAAAGTTTTTACTTCGTAAGCAGTACATGGTGTTACAATGGTAGCAATTAAAAGTCAAGTGCGGTAATTTTGGACGTAACAATGGTAATAAATGACATCAGCGGACTTATCTTTTTGCTATCATTGTAAAGGCAGTAAATCAAACTTTTCGTGCAGTGTTGGCCCGCAACTGGCCAAGGACATTTCACACAAGCATAATGTTCGGGTTTTACAATGGTATAAATTAAAAGTCAAAGTGCGGTAAGTTTGGACTTAACAATGGTAATAAATGAAATTAATTAATTTTTTACTACCATTGTAAATCCAACTTTTCGAATATTGTTGAGCCGCAACCGACCAAGGACATTTTACAAGTAAGATGTCCTTGAACTGGCAGACTGGTTTGAACCACAATAAAACGTGAAGAGCCTTCTCTCTTAGCCTCTACCAGGCTTCGTGAGGCGGCTGGAAAGTGTAGAAATCGGTCAAAGAGAGAGATAACATGCCGAGGGTTGGGTCTGCTATAGAGTACAGTTTGGGTGCGGCAAACTGTTCTCTCCAACAGACTAACACCCAGGGCATGCTATCTCTCTATTTGGCCGATTTTTACTCTTTCCAACCGCCTTCCGAAGCCTGGTAGAGGCTACGTCTCTCTCAGAGCCGACGTAAGACGCCACTAGCCTACACTGACGTCAAGTGACATCTTCTCTTTTGTTGTGAAGATGGACACGGCCGATTTGGAAGAAAAAAAGCTCCCACCTGAATTGAACCGATATTCTGTCATGGTACAGTTCACACATACACATACACACACACAAAAATACTTTTTTTAAACATCCCAGTCGGAAATTGAATTTTGATAGAGTCCCTCTCCCATTCAAGAATGGACTCTTCCAGTAGCACAAATGCAATGTTATGTAACCTGGTTACCAAACCTGGCAAATGGCGGAGAGGATGTAGGACTTGGGGGCTTTAATAGGTTTGGTAACCAGGCTAAATGTTATGGACAAGTCCAAAAATACTTCCACACAAACTATGTACATTTAATTTAAAATTAGTTGGAAAAACTTTACATGTAGTCACGTAGGTGGCCATGTACTTGTGTGTGAAGGGTTTTTGTATAAAAAAACACGACAAAGAAATTTTCATCTTTTGAACTTTAATCAAATCAGGTGGAAGATCGTCGGCTACAGGACCTTGTAGACGAAGGTTATGCCGTTCTTGTCCTGGTAGAACTTGGGAAAGACGTCCCGACTGACTCGTTCCCAGAGCCCTGTGTCCTGCAGACGGACCATGGCGGGCTCCAGTTTGTCCTTGTAGTCCTCCACGAAGTGCAGATACTCCTCCCGGAACGTGATGACGACGTACCCGCCTGGGCATCAGAGAGGAAACAAACGGTTATCATGACTAGAAACGTCAACACTTGCTCGGGAGCAAATACAGCAAACTTCACCCCTTCTTCCTCCCCATTCCAAGTCTTCAAACAAATACCAGAAAGTAGATAGACATTACGTCGATGAAGGTTAGACATCCAGGTAATACGATACGTCAAAAAGCAGTTACTCAGGCAACTGGATATGATTTTTTGTGATTTTTGTGATTTTTTTAATGATTTCCAAAATCATATCCAGTTGCTTGAGTAACTGCTTTTTGGCGTAGATAGACATTAGATAAGGCGTATCTAAGATCTCTAACTTCATCTCACCTGGTTTGACGACTCGAATGAGCTCAGGTAGACAGTCTTCCTTTAGGTGGGCTGGACCGAAGGCAGCGCAGCAGGCGACGGCGTCATACGTGTCTGTGTAGGGCACAGGTCGTTTCTATGGAAAGTATCCAGCAATAAAGTATCCAGTGATCTATGGAAAATATTCAGCTTCCTTCGATCTAGTTATTTGAACCCCACGGCAAGCCCTAAAGCCACACACCCTATTTTGTCCGATTCTAACATACTACAACCCTTTGGAACGCATGGTAAAGGATGTAATGGAGTGATACCGTTTTCGATGTCCATGGGTTTCGCTCCGACAAAGTCACAGATGAGTCGGTGGTAGATGTTCTTCCTCTCCGCAAGGTCCAGCATACCCCTACTCCCGTCCACAGCGTCCATGTTGGTGAAACCCATCTTCTGCAGCTAAGGAATAATTAACCTATCAACCAACCAACCAGCCAGCCAGCCAGCCAGCCAGCCAGCCAGCCAACCAACCAACCAACCAACCAACCAACCAACCAACCAACCAACCAACCAACCAACCAACCAACCAACCAACCAACCAGCCAGCCAGCCAGCCAGCCAGTCAGTCAGCCAGCCAGCCAACCAACAAGTCTATCTGTCTTTCTGTCTGTCTGTAAACACTGTAACTTGAGGAGGTTTAAATGGATTGACTTGATATTTGGTAGGTGGGTAGGTCTTGATGAGACCTCGAAATGATTAGATTTTGACCAGGCCACTTCAATTGATGTGTAGTCACACCGTTCACTTTTCACGACAAATTCGCATAAAAAAGACACATTCATTACCCTGTTAGTTATACTTTTTACTTACTGGTTATTAACCAACTCACCTCCTGGACCTCCAAAAATTGTCTTCACTTATTTGCACATCAATCAATAGTTCTTGCTTATAAACCTGCATTTCTGCACAAGTTCTCTAGTGTCACTGACAAAAGGCAGTGGATGCTACCTGAAACGCCTGACCGTTTACAAAATCATATCCAGTTGCTTGAGTAACTATTTTCTTGGCGTATCTTATTACCTGGATGTCTGACCTTCACCGACGTACCAACTCACCTCTTCGCCAACCACTCCAGTCCCGGCCGCCACGTCAAGAATACGGACCTCCTGGCGGTTCAAGCCGGCCAAGGCCTTCTCCACCGCTTCGGCACAGACTCGGGGACCACCGCATTTGTTCTGCTTTAGTACCTCCTGAGAGGAAACGTGTTTTCTTTGATTTGCTTTTTTTGTTGCTTTAACTACTTACTTATATACTTATATACTTTATGTTTGTATCGATGATTGTAATAACTACTTAATTTTCTAATTATTTTGATCTTTCTTTATTTCTTTATATAGAAGGTTTGTACTATCTCATTAGTTCTTTGAATTGCGCTTTATACATATCTAGAATATCTGTTTACGTCTCAGTCCCCCCCCCCCTAATTTTGCAAACACACACACACACACACACACACACACACACACATACACACACACACACTACACACACACACACACACATACACACACACACACACACACACACACACACACACACACACACACACATACACATGTATATTTGTTTTGCCGTCCTGAAATTGCATCATACGCCTTTAACATAACTTGACCCGCGTCTGTTCGGATCATCACGGCTACAAGTACGCACCTCGTCATAGTGCCCGGACCAGTTGTCGTAAAACTCCGCCGTCATTTCTGGGGTAGAGTTGGGGTCGCGCATTTTACTGGTGTGGAGATTGTAGAGCCTCTTTTCCGCCGACATGTTTTCTGCAACGCCAAACACAATGCGGACATCTTCAAAAACTTTGAATCTTACCCAGAATCTATTATGAAGTACATGGAATTCAACGAGAGCAGGGCATGCCGAATCACCTATAAATCGACCGATCCCAAAGATCGATCTGATCTGATCTGATCGATTGATCATACCACTTTAGAATTGAGTAAAATGGACCTTTGTATCCATGTATATGTTTGGCTGACGCGGACAGTAGATACAGGCGGCCAACATATGTTGAGAAGTTTATTACAAATTCGTGCCGGGGGCTAATTGCAAATTACAAACATAATAAAACGTAGTTTTGTAAAGCTATAGCCATGTCTAAAACTATGCCTGAGGGGTTTGACTTCTCTTTTTTAAACCATATGCATGGCAGACGTAATGTCCCATCTTTTCCACATAAAGTCCCCTTGCCCCACCGAATCTGCTTGGAGATCAGGGACAGCAGTCCACCCTGGGGAACACCTGACAATACAGTATGAGGCTTCGATAAACATGAACCCCATTTTACTCTCTGGGTTCTACCGTCTAAGTGACTACTGATAATTTGCTACAGCGACTATCTGATGCCCATGTCCGCTATTGTCAGCGGGAGCCGGTCGACCGTATCAAAAGCAAGGCCGAAGCTTATTGAATGCGCCATGCCCCGTAAGCTGCCTTTAGGCGAAACATACCAGGTGGACTACAAGGTTTGAACCACTCACACCGGGAAGGTCCCCTACTCTTTTCGATAAGCCTCTGGTTGGCTTTGCTTGTTATGGCCAATATGCGTTTGCTAAAGTTCAGATCTTCATTATCAATATTTTTATTACCTGAGTGAAGTGAGGAAAGTCGTGTAAAGCGCACCTCCAAGGGCATAAGATCGGTGACATGAGTAGGATTGGAAACCGGAACCTCTAAGCCCTGAGCCGAACACGCTACCATTTAAGCCACACGACCCCACATATATTGGCCCGGGATTCGACGTTCTAAACATTAAATACCCAACCAAGACTTGCACATGGTTTGGGGAGCGTACAAGCGTCGTACTTTGTCTTACAATCGACGTACAAGTGCGTCATGAAGTCATGATGCAAGATCGGACTATCTTGTTGCCAATTAAAAATGGCCGTCTTGTTGACGTTGGCGGTTGGTTCTGACATAGACTGATTGGAAACCCCACATCAAAATTTCACTACTAACAACGTATGAGGAATATAAGCATGCCATAAACAGATGTGAACATATCTGGTGGCCTTCCAAACATTGAACTGAAACTTAGACATCAAGGTTGTGATATCTATCCCAACGATTCAGTTCAACTGCAACATGTATATACATAAAGGTCACTGGCGTTTTGACATGCCTACAAGTTGTTTTCCTTACCTTCTTCCTGCATCTATTAGCTAATGAACAATAGGAGTGACACGCACCTTGGTTTACTTCAGACGTCTATGAATCCTTGCGAATATATTAAATCCGACTCGGCGTGGAGACGCTGTACTTCAGACGACAACCGTTGTAGTTGTCCCTGGCTGACGTCACCGACCGACCTTGATGTTCTATTGGTCGAGCGATGCTATGCAATCATGCCTCGCGGGTCAGTTTGCAGCATCCACCTTTGTTAAGAACACATGGCCTGGCAGCGAGACCTTTTTAATCTTTAAGCCATTTTAGAATATTTAACAATAGCCGTTATATCTTGACAGTATAACAGTATACTGCCGATACTATACTACTGTAGTGACGTTGGCCAACCTCCCCATAACGAATTCATAGAGTGGGCGTGCGCTTTCCTACATCTCAAGTCCTCAGTTGCCTTTTTTTAAATCTTAGAACCGTTGTACATTTCCAACTACATGTATTTTAATGTCAGGTACTCGATTGGGTGGCCGTCGCAATCTCTCGCGAAATGCGTTCGCTAGTCTTAATGCTCTCCGCAGTAAAGCCTGTCTAATCTTCTCAAGTCTGAAGGCGTAGATGAACGGATTTACAACTGAACCGCAGAATCCGATCAGCAACCCCCAGTAAGGTCGCGGCTCTGTCGTACACTCGTCGTGGGCGTGGCAGGTGATGTACCTATATAGTAAAACACCTTATAAATGAGTCAACGTAAAGTAATGTATTGTCTTTTATCATGTAGAGATCATGTAAATATGTGGAGCGGAGATCGCAATTCAATGTTTATGTTTAAATTCTTAGCTAGAATGATATTTCAAAGTTGTTAAGGTGGACACTGATGTAAGGAAACATGCAATCTACCTCCGGGCTGAAAATGTTTTTAATCAATAAACCAGTCATCGTCATCATCATCATCATCATCATCATCATCATACCTGACGAATATCGGCAGCCAAATGATGATGAACAACGCTGCAATCGCCACGACAGTGACCGCCGTCTTCAGTTTGAGCTTAAGCTGCAGCTGTGCGGCAGGCAGGTCCTCTTGATGCTGCTCGGGGAGTCCCACTCTAGAGAAGCGCTGCTTCAGTACGATGAAGATTCTAACGTTGACGAAGACCACGGCTACCACAGCCACGGCCAGAATGATGTTGATAAGTCTCGGGTAGTTGTCTGGTAAGTTTCTCACGCAATTTTCAGTTTCGATCTTCATGCAGTTCCAGCCCATGAGAGGAGACAGACAGACAATCGCGCAGGCTGGCCACGCGATCCCCAAACTCACGGCAACGTGTCGATCTGACACGCGAGTTTTGTAGAATATCGGGTGGAGGATGGCCAGATAACGGTCCATGGACAGGAGGACCACACCGACAGCTGACAAAACCAACACGCAAAGAAGCAAACAGAATAAGGCCAGTAACGTTAGTGGTTGCACGACTTCCCAGTACAGGATGGCACAAAAGAGAAAAGAGAACAAACCTGCCACACAGTCCGCCACGGCAAGGTTTGCCACGAACATGTACATGTGTTCGGTCAGCTGGTGGTTTCTGAAAATTCCAGACAATACCGCGCCGTTCAGGAGGATACTGGCTGCCCCCACCACGGCGGATGCGATCCCGATTTTCCTGTTCTCGACCTGTAGCGGGTCGGAAAGATGTCAGCATGCGGCTAACGCGTACGCCAGATTTTAGTCCTTCTCATTTTTCACTCGCCACTGGACACACGGCCAGAATGTCTCGTACGCTGTCGAGTTTCCTTGGGTAAGATTCACCAAGCTGTCGTTCATCTTTGTTCGGGCGTGGAAGATGACCCCGTTGTCTCAAGGATATACTGTGGTGTCAAATGGCCTAGTTGCTCTCCTGGCAGACAAGAGATCAAGATACTGTCTTGTACAGTAGCCACCAAAAGATATCGCTCTGCCAACTTGATACTGTCTTGGCAATTTGATCTGCCGATTTGATACTGTCTTGGCTATTTGGGACTGTTTTCTGGCCACCAAACGATCTGCTGGGGTATAAGCAATGCCCTAACTTGGCATGAGTACGCCACCGTTACCAGGAATTCGCTCATACGTACCACTGACTTCACTATGGCAACTAAGTAAGCAGCAGAATTGGGATAAACAACATCAATACACTACATCCTTCATCCGTTAGGCACCGGTCGTTACATGACCAAAACCACAAGGTTATTTTTAGTACCCAACCTTTATTGTACATCCATGCCATATCGGGCAGGTACAGGTGAACAGATAAAAAGGTATATACGTATTTGTAGTTCAAACAGGACTGCTGATACTAATCTAACTACATAACATAAGCTCTAAAACTACTCTAATGCAGAGGTTCGGCTTCTTCTCGTTTCTTTGTGATGTTAAAAATATAATTGAAATGGGTTTGATTAATACAGGATGATCAAAGCGCAGAAGAAAGATGGATTTTTCAACATTAGTCAAGGATCGGTTATCAAATCGTATTCATATTAAACTAATTAAATCGTAAAAGGCCTAAAAACAGTCTCCAAACATAAGCCAAAACCCAACCCTCTGCATGGAGAGTTATACTACTATTCGCCTGATAAGGTCACAGTATCGTTCTACTCTCTGTAGTAGCAAGGTAGCAGGTGTCTTAAAGTTCAAAAAGTAGGCCACATATGATGTATGGCTTTCTTTGTGCTTTAACAGATCACGGACAATTAGGATGTGACGCCGTTAGACCATTAATGGATTTCACTGAATTTTTAAAACCTCCACCCTTTGCCATTAATAACGATTCCAATAAACCTTTTCATCTCAAATTGTTCATTTTATAATAATATCAGAATCCGATTATTTACCACCGTGTCCAAAATACACCCTTATTTTCCCCACTATCCCCCACCAAGAGAAAACAATCTTACTAATTAAATCAAAGAACCCACATATCATAGGCGAAGTGGGTAAGTTCGTCTCCCTCTGCCTCAAAAGAAGTCAATCCATGCCCGTAGCCAGGGGGGGGGGGCTCAAAGGTCCACTTTGTTAACTAAAGGTCAAAGATTTTTCTTTATGTATCACCAGCGGGGTTGTAATCCTACAAAAACTGATCACTTTGTCATTGAATAAGAAGTAATCTCTGATTTTTCCTTTGACATCCTCTCAAAGGTTCAATTTTCAACATTTCAAAACAGCCCCATGGTACGGGGCTTGTACGGGGCCATCCCAATGGCAGGCGCCAGTTCCTATCCTAGTCTGTCACCGATGCTAATTTCCGTCTCGTAAGCGGTCATCGCCTTTTGAAACGGTCGATGCCATATCGCAGAACGGCTAACTTTAAGTGTATCAGCACGGTTGATCCACACCGTGATGTTTTGTGGTGTAGAGGGTTAGGGTATAGGTAAGGTTTTAGATCTGCGCTTTTTGACCAGTTCCAGTCCGAGCCTGTGCTTTTTTGTTTTACTATTTCTCATGATCCTCCCTTACATTTGCAATTCGAATGTTGCTTGCTTTTTACAGTATATCATCATCATCATCATAGTATATATATGATAATATTATATACTATAATATTTATAGTATATAGTGCGTTTTATACGTTTTTGGACAACAAAAAAGATAAAGATATGGCACGCTCCGATATGGCATCGAAAGGCGACGACCTTTCTGAAAGGCGACGACAGTTTACGAGACGGAAATTTGCGTCGCCGATGTTGAGCTCCTACAGTCTGACGTGCCATCGTCACTCCTCTGTGTCTCTCGTACTGAGTCTGACCTACTGAAGCCCACCTGAAAGGTATCAACAAAGTAAACGTTTGACAGAACTTCTCTGTACAGGGATACACATTAGGCCATGTTGATTTGATTATATGGATGACATCCTCTGGGAACCCCAAAACTGATGCGCGCGTGCGAATAAAAAAAAAGTTTTGCAAAAAAAAGTTTGCTTTCACAATGAAATCTACGTGGTCATGAAGGTTGAACAAATGGCACAGAATATGTTATGGCGAATAATCTACTCTTCGAATTCATTTCTTTACATTTTTGTCTTTTTTCCTTTGATTTTGGCATTCTACGACATTGGTATCGTTTCTAAATGTTTTCCTTGCAACTTATGGTATATTTTTGCTCATTTAGCAACTGTTTTGCACGATTTACAGTGTGGTTGAAAACTTTTTTTTTGGAAACGGCCGAAAATTCATGCGCGCGCGGATGTCATCCATATAATCAAATCAACATGGCCTTATTACTAAACAAAAGGATTAATTGAAAAAAGGGAAAAGCAAAACAATATGCAATATTCAAAATATGCAGCATTAACAATATGTTTACGGTATATGCACATGAATTATGAAAATAATAACATTTGAATATTTACATAGGCAGTAGGTTTAGGTCAGATGATTTGATATGAAATGATATTTACATAATTATTCATATAACCGAGAGTGTAAGGTAGATATTTGAAATTGCATTGTATGATAATAGAAACATATACTTTCTTGTGTTCGAAATTGAATAAGACCCCATACAGACCACTGTATAATGAAATATGCAATATATTAATCAGACTGTTAAATCTAACAGAAAGAGGAGGGTGTACTAACCTGTCACCTTTATGGACGCTCCACTCACATAACTGCTTTCATCCGACGCCAGAAAGGTAAAGACGTTGGCTATTTCTATATAGAATAAAAAAATGACTATTAAATGGCTTTTTGATTGGGTGTAACTAAACAAAAAGAGAAAGAACACTAGGCAGAAAACTTGGAAAATAGATAAAACTTACCATCTACCTCAGCAAAACGTCCCAGAGGAATCCCACTTCCACCCTACATTTGAGGGAGAAGGGGGGGGGGGTAAAATCATTCAGAGATTCTGAAATAGAACTAGTTTATCTTAGAAACAGAGTTAATATCTAATGAACAAAATCGGTTTCCCGCAAGCAACATGCAGAAAGTCTAACACAAGTTAAGTGACGTATTGAAAGTTACAGAAAAAAAATAATCATCAACATCTAATGATCAATTATTACATACACTAATGCATAGGGTAATAAACAGAACAGCTTATATGTAAAATTGTTTGGAGGGCAGAGGTCCGCCTCTGAGGTGTCACCAAAAAAGGAAGCTGACAAAACGCCGACCATATCTCTTATGTTTCCAAACCGGGGCGCGGCCGGGCTGTTTCTATTAACGAAAAATCAACAACTTAAATCAATAATATACGCAAATAGTTCCCATTGTTAATTTTGTTAATTTTATTTGTGCTTTGCTGTCTTCAATATTATACTTTTCGTTCTATAAGACTGACCGACCGGGCCCGGGTTTGGAAATGCGACCTGCATTACTTACCGCTGCTGTGTAGTGGTTTTGAAGTGAGCCTTGAGCTCCCACATACTTGTCCATGAAAGGGGTATTGGCTGGTCCCGGAAGAACAACATTACATCGGATGCCACGTCTGTAATGATATACGATGTAAGGCCGTTCGTGTATCATGAAATAGTAAGTTCTGTACCGAACGAACATGATACGTAGTGCACACAACTTATTACGTAGGTATTGTGCACAGTTCAAACATGTCTGAATACTCTTATGGTCAAATGTAGCGGATTTACGGAGTTCCATCATTACTTATGCATATCAGATCATGATGTGCAGATGACATCTTATTACTAGTATTTGAAGTTTTACCTAAGCGACGTATATATTAAAAATCATGACGATCTGTCAACCTGTTATTGAGTTATCCGGCTTCAAGTCTTTCAAACAAACGCCACTGCATTTCAAGAACAAGCTCCTAGGTGGGCCAAAATTTAGTTATTATGAGGACTAATCAAGGCCCACCTACCTACCAACGGAATATATATATAAATATATAAAT